GTCGGATTTAAATTATTTGACTATTTACTTAGGAACAAGGTCACTTTCTTTGGGGCACTAAATATAGTAATTATTCATTTAATGATTTTTATCAGATAAATAAACTATTAGATTAATGTTTAAGACAAACTGCAAAATTACTGTTTGTCTGAAATCTTTTTAACTTAATATAACTTAAAAATATTCTGTTTTTTTAATTTGAGTTCCATGCTATGTGTTTTTGTCGTGTTATATGAACATTTATTTATATTTAAATGTGAAATAATTACTGAGTCACTTCCCTTAGGATTATAATTGTAGTGCTGAGCCAACTCCCATTTGTTTCTAATTGTAACAATTAAATGTGAATGTTATCTTTTTTATGATGCACTCAAAGGGAATGCAAATAAAACATACCAACATGACTGATAAATTTGTTATGGTTCATGTCCAAATTTAACTTATAATTCCTCTGTCTAATTTATTGTTTACTTCAACTTAACCTTGCTAATTGCAGCATCGGAATATAATAGAATAAATCGCCAGATTTATTGTTGTTTAGATTTCAAAAATCTTCCACAAGCAACAAGTCGAGCAATTAGTGCAAATTTAAAACACTTGTCATAAAACCTAAAAATAGTCATGCAAATGGCAATAGAGTAAGTCGAGAATCTCGTCGAAAGCTCTCGAGACTTCCTCAAAACGAAAGTGAAATCTGCTGAAAAAAAAACAGCTTGATCAAATTTAAGGCCGACCGCTGTTTTATTTATAGGCCAAAGATGATAAATCCCAGTGAAGCTTCTAATGCCGACTATATAGACGGCCACGCGCGTTGTGATTTGCATGTGTTTGTGTGCCACATTTTGTGTATGGGCAGACAAAAGGCGAATTTATCAAGCGGGCCATGCAAACAGCTTCTGATGTGCCCCGTCTCAATTTTCTCGATTCGGGTTCGCAATCCCAAAACCCCTGCCACTGACAATGAAACGCCAAGCAAACACACTCCAAGGAGCACAAAGTGAACTCGTGTATATTAGTTCTCGTCACGGACAGTTTGACATTTGAGCGGCTTTAAAGACTAATATTTACGCTCTTTTATTTTGCAATTTTCCTCACCCACATTCAATAGAACGATGATAATAATAATTCTGATGAACGGCTGTATTCAGAGTGAGACGCAATAGGTGTGCTCTCTGTGTTTTTTCCAATAATCATTGTGTCTTGGCTCAAGGTCTCTACGGTTTATCCATCTGAATGATAAGGGAATTGGGTGCCGCCAACATGAGCTTATATTTATTAAGTATTATTACATTTTTATAGAGCTATTAGTCTCAGCTTGGAAATAATTTAACTTTATTATTGTATTTTAATAAACTTTACATAATCACGTTTTCTTTATAAAAACTTTAAGTTTTCTCATCAAGAATGCAAAATTATATCTCCATTATTTCCCTTTTCAAATAATAAACGTTAAGATAACCAAGCCCAATATGCACACCCAGCTTACACAATAAGCTGTTATTAAAAATATATAATTACAATCTTATAAAGCTTTGCCGAAGGCCTGAAAATGTTGCCACTTTACAATTCCATACCCCGCTAAGCTATTATTAAGAAAATCACATATAATATTAACAACTTATACATAATTCATTTCCACTCAATTGTGCCAGCAAGGTTGGCCCCCAAAGAAATGTAGATAGACACGAACACTACATATATGCAAGCCGGAACTTTTACAGCCCCTAAGCTCATCCCTTGGCAACAGAAAAGTACTTACAGTTTGTCGGTAAATTGTGCGCGGAAAACCCTCATGTATAGGGATAGGTATCGGCACCTCTTCTCACCTCCGGAACTATGACAAGTTTCCGCAAACAACACACACATGTGGCCCACCGCAGTTCATGGCATCATGGCACCAGCAAACTTGGTTTTGATGTTCCTGTCGGAATCACGTGGTTATTTGTGGCGTAGAATCAACTGAACAACTTTCTTTTCAATGTACCCCAGAAGGTCGAAATTAATGGCCAGTCATATCAAAATGTTCATATGTCAATGCGAAGGCCGATAAGCAGCCTTCAACCTTTAATTCTTAACCCTTTCTATACCCATTCCACTTTCTACTTTAATGATGCCAACAAATGTCCATAAACTATTCCACTTACTTAAATGATATCAGCCTTTGCTGAAGTGCTAATTAATTAAAACTTATATGCATACAACAATTTATAGATTCTAGAATTCCAAAAGACTCACTAAAGACAACGTATGGCCAGTTTGAGCTCATAAAAAATAATTATGTAAATAGCAAGTGCTTATATAATTAGGTTTGCATCAGATTTGTTTGTCAACAATATGCGAAAAGGCAACAGGGTGCCGCAGAAAATATTTTAATTGGAAAATAAAAGAATATTTATAGTATTTGTCATTACTCGCAAAATAAGATTTGGTTAACAAGTATTTAATAAATATTAAAATAAATAATTTCGTATTTCTAAAAACATTCAAGCACCCTGTATAGTGAAAACCAAGTATAACTGCGTTATAACCCAGAGAACTCAGTGATTTACAAGCTCAAGTTTTCCCTTTAATTGTTGATTAACAAGGCGGAACTTTTAATTGAAGTCCAACTGCGAATGTTATTCTCATTACACTAGGTTTCCACTCCACTGATAACGCTTAGCAATTGTGTGGGAGTGTGTGCATTAATTTGAATACGACACTTGCTTATAGCGCCATTAATTATGGACCACATGAGAGAGGGAAAATAGCTCGGATGTCTTTGCATCATGAACAGCTGCGGAGGCTGTTGAATCACGTATTTGCCAACGGAAATCAAGCACTATAAATATAATGCTAAACAAGTCAATATTTATTCTCCATTGTCTATTAATAATATTTCCCAGTCTCTTTGTACTTTAGCTAATTCACACGTGTGCAGGCTATTACATTATTGATTATCAACAAGCTATATCGAATGATAGTTCCCAGAAGCGAAATGCTAAAACAAAAGATTGGCTTAAGCTGGAAATGTGTACATAAATGCCAACTATTCTTCGAACTATTCACTTACAGTCTGAAAGCTTGTGATCAACAAAGGCTGAATGGAATTCAGTAACCTATTGTGATTGCCCAAGCCATTTTGTAATAATAACAAACTTACCCGGAAAGCTTAGCCACAAAAAGATTCCCTAAACAAAACAACAACATGATTTATTTTAATTCAGAATAAATTTCAATTTGAATTTCTGGAAAAACATTCAGTAGTAAAACCTGAGAAACAACCTCCATTACTCTGCACGATTTCTAACTTAAAGCTGTCAGAAAAATAGTTCAAGTGAAAGTCCTATTTTTGTACGTTATTACATATTTTATTTTAGTAAGGGAATATATATTTTCCAATTTAATAAACAATGCTAAATTTATTCTGAAGTTTTTTAATCAGTAAGAACATTTGAAAAAATGTCTATTTAATAAAAAATAAAACTTTTCTAAGCACTACTATTTTAAACAAAAGTGTTGGTATGCATATTATATATTTATATTCTTACAAATAAAACGAGGATTAAGTCTGACCAATATTATTGCCCCCTGAGTGAAAGACAAATAAATTGTAATCAATCTGAATGGGAAACATCTGTTGCGGTTCTCAGCGGCTTAAATTCCATCAAATGTGTACAAATTGATTTCTTTTCAAAAAACAACCGATGGACCGTTATTAAGGAGCTTAGCGAGACATTAGAAGGAAAAGTTTTGGGGCCACCATCTCCTCGACCACAATTAAATGTCAGGCTAATGAGAAAACGGAAGCCAACAAATAAACAACAGAAAGTTCGAGTGGGGGTGGGGTCCTCCGGGCGTGTACTTAATATAGAAATAAGCTGATTCGAATGGGCCACCCGGGGCGTATACTTGATATGCCTGACTTACCATTTGCTTCGATGCTTTGCGCTCAGGTGCAAATAACTGATGATCTCCTGCAGCTTAGAATGTCGCTCCTCATCCTCATCCTGGTCATCGTCCTCATCACCCGGTTGCAAATGATACGGATCCTGACTGTGGTCGGTTATCATAAAGGTGGGCTTGCTATATCCATAGGGCGATGACATTTTGATTCACACTATAAAAACAAAACACAATTTTCACGAATTTTGTACACTTGTCACATCTTTAATGGCCTTCGGGACCGACTAAGTCTAAGCCAATTTCCAATTTTCACTTTATTCCTTGGCGCAAATTAATTAAAATTCAGTCAGTCATTGGGGCTGACTTTCCCTCTCGCGGCTGCCATAAAACTGCTGGCAGTCTCCTCTCCACATGCCGGACACGTCGGGTCACCTCCTCCATTCCCTCGTGGCCATTTGTTTGAGAACTTAAAATACAATTTACCTATGGAACGAGCGCTGTGGAAAGCGTGGAAAGCGCAGCAGCAGTAGCAGAGCAAATAAACACCAACAACCACCCGAGAAAATCCCTTGTTGCTATTCTATTTTGTCTTGTGCTCATTTATTGACCAGCGTTTGTCTTTCTATATACTATATACCCTCGGGTTTATATACAAAACACTCGCATACGCGGATATTCTGGTCAACATTGAACTTGGCAATGGTCAGACTCAAGAATTATTTATGGTTGTTTATGTTTTCTTCCTAGGTGCATATGGGATAAGTGCACCATCACGAAAATTAGAAAATTAATAGCTTGCATTATAGGGTTTTTTTAAATATTTGTAGGCTCCACCGAAAAAACAGTTTTGTTTTCAAAAGAATAAAGACAGGTACGATATTTTAGTTATTCAATGTTTTCACAGCAAGTAATCCCCTTATTAAACGAAAGATGTTTCTCCATTCTCTATTTATCGCCTGATTAGTTTTTACGATTTCCCCACTTTGACCTCAAACAAATAAGTCTAAAATTAGTCCATTTTACACGACACTACAGATGCAACCTTGAGAGGCCCCCAAAATGTTGTTCATTTCCATCAGTCCAGCAAAAGCTTATAGAACAAACGCCAAGGCATATGTACTTCCATATTTCTTGTATATTTTTATACATTTGCCAATCACAAATAAACGCTTAGATATAGATATTCTTACTTATATATTCAAAAGCAGATTAAACACATCAAGAGGCGAATGTAAAAGGACAACGTCTACAGTAAAACTCACACAAAATAACGATAGATTCGAGGTGAAAAAACATTTTCCATTAATTATAATAATATATTATTAAATAGGGACTGGGAGATATATTACGGAGGGAGTATTAATGCCATTCAAAGATGACATGGGCCACGAGTAGATAGACAGTCATCAGAGTGATCTGTCCCAGCATCATGGGAAAAACGGTCCTTAAATACCGGGTAAATGAGAGCTTATAGCCATGTTGCTCGGCAATTCCGGCTGCAATGACATTGGCTGAAGCTCCGTAGAGCGTTCCATTCCCGCCCATTGAAGCTCCCAGGGTCAGAGCCCAAATCAGTGGCTGCAAGGGCAATCCCAGCGACGGCTTGGCCACCAGCGAGGTCACCAGCTTCACCATCATGGCGGCCACCGGAATACTGTCCAATATGGAGGATGCCAGGGCCGACATCCACAATATCATAAAAATGGCCATGGCCAGGCGATGGCTCTTTCCCACCGAAAGGATCACATGTTCGGTGAGCTCACCGATGCAGGAGAAGATTCCCAATCGCTCCACGCACTCCATCATCACGAACATGGCCGCAAAAAAGAGGAGGGTTGTCCATTCTATGCGGTGCATCAGGTGCTCCATGTCATCGCGATTCAGGATGATTAGGAGTAGGATCACCCCCAGCAGAGCCACCCAACCGAGAGGCAGAGTCCTCCAATGGGGAACGGATTGAATAAAGAAGCAGATTATAACAAACGTCAGGGCTCCAGCGGATTGTAACAGCAGCGTTTTGTTTTTGATGGGGTACTAAAAAGAGATTACTATTTACATATTCCTTTTGGGGTTTTTTAAGACCTTACCTTATGCTTGAGCTCATCCAGGGTGTTGGTATAGACCTCTGAGGATCCCACACCCTTTTGCAATCTTCTAAGAGTCCTCTTCAGCTGCTTTACTTTTCCCTGAAGAGTTCCCCTCACCAGTTGCGCATCCTTGGAGCAGGAGGCCACTGCGTTTAGGGCCCTCTGCCACACCTTCATTTCCCTCCTTAGTTCACTCATTTCCTTGGGCTCATTGAGACGCAGTGCATCAATATTGCGATAGAAAATACGCAGATAGACGCAACTTTGGATGACAGCCAGCAGGACACCTGGGAAAGTGTGGGCCACAAAGGTGGGAAAGGTAACATCCTGAAAATACCAATGAATTTATTATTGTCCCCTTTGCATAATCTCATGATATACTTACATTATCGACAATGAAGTGATTGGTACTGACTATAATGCTGATGGGATCGCCAATAGGCGTTAGTGCTCCTCCAATATTTGCATGCACTATTATGCCCATTACGACGGGCAGTGGATCCAACTGCATTACCTCGCACAAGCGGATTGCCACTGGGGTTAGGAGCAGTACTGTTGTCATATTGTCCAGCACACTGGACACCAGACAGGTGACCAAACAGAGACTATATATCATGGGCCAAATCTTGCCACCCGAGATCTCGAAACAAAACACCGCCAGGTAGTCAAAAACTCCAGTTTCCGTCAATATCAGAATGAGCAGCATCATGCAAAAGAGTAGAGTTAGCAGCTCCATGTCCATCCATTGGATTATTTCATCCATATTAGGACGATCTGAAATGGGTTAAATTTATAAATAAATAAATCATGGATAAGAGATTAATAACCCACCATTAAAGCAGGCCAAAGCTGTCACCGAAAGAATCGAGCAGATCATGGCCACAAAGGTTCTTTCAAACAGTTCCCAGACCAGCAGTGCATAGAAGATTAGCAGGATCAGACCAGCCAGGATGCTGCCCGTCCTGGCATTCACTATCAGCGGATTGTAGTCCAGAATAATGGCCAAGTCCGTCTCCACATCGCTGTAAATATGCAAACGGAATTCGCTCTCCTTTTCGGTGAGGATATCGCTCAGTTCCTGGGTCATTTGATAAGTGCGATTACTGGCCACAGCCGGAGAACGCACCAACTCCTCCTCGGAAAGCAGAGGTAGACGCCAAGCTGGCAGGACGTCCTACAAGAAATATGTTACTTTAATTTTATTAAAGAACTCAAAACAATTTTTGCTATAAGAAAAATTCACCTTATAATGTTGATAAATATTCTTTGGAATCAAACTAATAAAAAAGTTTTCTTTCACTTCAATTCCATTTAGCCTAGGTATTTGAAATGTTAAAGTAATACCCACCTGGAACACCTTGCTGCGATTCTCGCCAATGTAAGTGGACACCTGCGGCTGCACAGTCAGAAAACCAAAGCTCAAAGTCTCATTTTCAGGGGCATCCAGCGTGGAGAGCTCTCTGAAAGCGCCATGTATTTTCAAGCGAAAGTCTCCCGTCGGTTTTTGTAGCAATTTAAAAACTAAAGAAGCAAATGTTTTTAACAAATATTTATAATTCATATGAGACCAACTCACATTTTCCTTGCTCGCCGTGTGGCACATCTATGGTCTTCTCCAGCAGATGCTTCTCACCCACCGAGATGAGCACCACGGCAGCTAGAAGCCAAAAGAGGAGCAGGCCACCCCGCTTCCACAGTTTGTCCCGCTGTCGCTGCTCCTTGGATCGCTTGGACTTATGATGGATCCGGCGGGCCAAGGACTTGGCATTGCTCGGTCCGTTGGCCGGTTCGTGGTCGGAGTGGGTGGTGGCCTCGTCATCGGTGGCATTCTCGTCGCCCGGCCTGGTCTTGATGTCCAGGAAGTCGGAGCCAGCATAACTGGAGCCAGGCTCGTCCTGCAGGCGACTACTGTTCTTCTTATCAACCTCATCATACCCATCCTCATCCTCATCGTCGCTTGCTCCTGCCAAGAAACATTCAGGTGGCATTCAAATAATTAATAAGCTATGTGGCCTGGGAATGGCCGTGTTTGACAGTTTATTGATTTAAATGCCATAGATTTGTATTTGGATACACTGGGAAAACAGTTATTAAATACCAAAATTTTACTTTTTAACTTAACCAATTAAAATGGAATCAGTAATAATTAGTTTAAATGTCTGTCCAACATCTAATCCATTCTTAATTATACACATGAAAACAATTTTTCGATAGGTAAATATATTAAATGGCACATCGATATATTAAACATTATTTATAAAAAATATTCAAACTAAATTCAAGAGTTATTATAACCATTTTAGACTATAAAACATTTTTGAAAAGATTTCCAAGACTCACCATGGATGCGTTCGTTTTCCATCTGAAAACTGGCCATACTGGGATCATGGCGGATTTCGGCAGGCAGTGCGCGCCATACCTGTAAGGACTGCTCGGTGACCTGGACGGCGGCCACCTGGTTGTGATGACAGCCGCTCCTCGGACTGCGATGCTGCAGCTCCATGCTGCACTTGTCCCGGCCGGGACTATCCGGCCGAAGGTTTCGGATTGTATCCCGCAGACCCATAGTCTACGGAATCAGCAGGTAGCACGGGTAGTTGGGGGGCAGAGCGTGGGAGCTTTTCCAGAGATTGTGGTAATCAAAGTCAGCGAGGTACAGTAGCGGACATCTTTGCCGCACGCGAGGCACGATGCGACTGAACGGAATCTTCAGCGACCGAATATAAATCCGAGTCGGACGCGAAGCAGTTGCGGGGTTTCGGTTTCCATTCAGCCGCCGGCGCTGCTTTCAATATTGAAAGTGAAAACGCCTCCTCAACCACCCCTCCCCTCCCTTCAGTTCGTTGGGGCTTTATAGTCGCCGATTTCCAGGATGGCGCAGGCGCCGAGATATTGTTGTGGATTCCCATGTTTTGCTCGCCTCATTCGGGGGTCACAATTCCCATCAACAAGTTTGCATTTTGCACTCCCACGATTGTCTACACTTCGCCCGATTATGACTTATTCAAACGTATTTACTTGACCTATTAATTTCTGCCACCCACACTATCAGATGCACTCAATTGCCCATACGCCATGTGGTCGCTCTATATATGCATGTAAATGTATAATTTTGTTATCCCTAGCAAGTGCTGGTTCAACCTTCAGGTAAAGCTGTTATCTTAGTCACTCATTGATATCCAATCTAATTTATTTAAGTTTAGAGTTTTCCATTATCTTCATGCAACCGATACTGTTTACAAGCTAACACTTATATTTTGCATACTTTTTGGGATCCGATAAATAATTGGGACTTTTAGATAATAAATATTAAAATAAATAATGAAAAATTGAAGCAAAATAATTTAAAATATATAAATAATAATCCTTAAAAAAAAGTGTTATAACAAGTCTCAGAATATTATTAACTCATAAAATTAAAAAACTTAAAGAACAAAATAAAATATTTACTTTTTTTGTAAGGATTTAAAGAACGGGATTGCCGATATAACAATTATAGATCTCTCAATAGATATCTCTTTATAATCCAGCCACTATTTGCGTAAATGTGTACATAACAAACATATTGTGGCCATCCATTCCATTGGAATTTCCTGACTATCACCAAAATTGCATCCTGCAACGACCGTTAACTGTGGGTTGTTAAACAATTGTATACATAAGAAACGTGTCGAAAACGGCTGTTTTAGTAAGCTTGCCCAAACATAAAAGTTAACCTGTTTACACAACTTTTGCCCTATTTATAAGAAGTTAAATGCACAAAAGAAATATTTGCACACATGCAAGGGTTTGTGCAAACTGAATTCCGACACAAATAAAACCTATAAAAGTCGAAGGCAGTGCTGCCTCAAAAACACTATCACCGCCAAGTGCAAGGAGTAACAAAATGCAATTAGCGCTGATCTGCATAACTGGTAATTAGTATCCATATTTCTATTAACCGGAAGTAGTATGTAAGTTTGATCAATATCCTTCTTTTGTAGTGAGCATACTGCTCATTCAGTTTGCAGATGTAAAGGCAGATTTCGATTGGGATGAGTTAAGAGATGGTCCTGTCGAGGAAATAGTACCCGGAGATGGAGGCGATATTATCTGGAATCCCCAACCGATGCAGCCTTGCGACTGTGGAGAAACAACCACAACTAATAGACCAACTAGGAGAAAAGCCACGAAACCACCACGAACCACAACGACGACCACAAAGCGGACCACCAAAAAGAACACCAAACGTACAACGACCACACCAGCCACACCGGATACAACAGATGCGTCTACAACGACCACGGATGCAGGTACAACGGTCACTTGCACCCCTCCCCCTGTACCTTGTGGTTGCTCCGATCAAACTACTGGCAGCAGCACCGATACATCCAGCGACACTTCCATTGACACATCCACCGACACAAGTACAATGGCCTGCAACGACACTACAACTCCATTGTGCACTGACACCACAACCCAAAGTTGTACCTGTGGTCAGGAAACGTCTCCGACAATACCTACTTGTCCCTGTGGCGTAGAAACTTCTACTGCGGTCCCTACATGTCCCTGCAGCGTTGAAACTTCTCCTGCCCTTCCTTCAAGTACCTGCACAACAGGGACTTCTACTGCAACTCCAACCACTACACCCACAACAACTAGTTGCACCACGTCAGCAACTACTCCAATAACAACACCTTCTACCTGTACCCCACCAACTACCACTCCGACATGTACAACGACAACATCCACATGTGCCCCAATAACTACCACTACAAGCACAACAACTGCGTCCACATCTACCACAAGTGCCCCAACAACTACTACTGAAAGATGCACAACAACTGCATCCACGACTGCCCCAACAACTACAACTCAAAGATGCACAACAACTGCATCCACACCTACCCCAACAACTACCACTGAAAGATGCACATGCACTGCATCCACGACTGCCCCAACAACTACAACTCAAAGATGCACAACAACTGCATCCACTCCTACCCCCACAACTACTACTGAAAGATGCACAACAACTGCATCCACGACTGCCCCAACAACTACAACTCAAAGATGCACAACACCTACATCCACTCCTACCCCAACAACTACTACTGAAAGATGCACAACAACTGCATCCACGACTGCCGCAACAACTACAACTCAAAGATGCACAACAACTGCATCCACTCCTACCCCCACAACTACAACTCAAAGATGCACAACACCTACATCCACTCCTACCCCAACAACTACTACTGAAAGATGCACAACAACTGCATCCACGACTGCCGCAACAACTACAACTCAAAGATGCACAACAACTGCATCCACTCCTACCCCCACAACTACAACTCAAAGATGCACAACAACTGTATCCACTCCTACCCCCATAACTACAACTGGGAGATGCACAACAACTGCATCCTCGACTGCCCCAACAACTACAACTCAAAGATGCACAACAACTGCATCCACTCCTACCCCCACAACTACTACTGAAAGATGCACAACAACTGCATCCACGACTGCCCCAACAACTACAACTCAAAGATGCACAACACCTACATCCACTCCTACCCCAACAACTACTACTGAAAGATGCACAACAACTGCATCCACGACTGCCGCAACAACTACAACTCAAAGATGCACAACAACTGCATCCACTCCTACCCCACAACTACAACTCAAAGATGCACAACACCTACATCCACTCCTACCCCAACAACTACTACTGAAAGATGCACAACAACTGCATCCACGACTGCCGCAACAACTACAACTCAAAGATGCACAACAACTGCATCCACTCCTACCCCAACAACTACAACTCAAAGATGCACAACAACTGCATCCACTCCTACCCCCACAACTACAACTCAAAGATGCACAACACCTACATCCACTCCTACCCCAACAACTACTACTGAAAGATGCACAACAACTGCATCCACGACTGCCGCAACAACTACAACTCAAAGATGCACAACAACTGCATCCACTCCTACCCCAACAACTACAACTCAAAGATGCACAACAACTGCATCCACTCCTACCCCCACAACTACAACTCAAAGATGCACAACACCTACATCCACTCCTACCCCAACAACTACTACTGAAAGATGCACAACAACTGCATCCACGACTGCCGCAACAACTACAACTCAAAGATGCACAACAACTGCATCCACTCCTACCCCCACAACTACAACTCAAAGATGCACAACACCTACATCCACTCCTACCCCAACAACTACTACTGAAAGATGTACAACAACTGCATCCGCGACTGCCCCAACAACTACAACTCAAAGATGCACAACACCTACATCCACTCCTACCCTCACAACTACTACTGAAAGATGCACAACAACTGCATCCACGACTGCCGCAACAACTACAACTCAAAGATGCACAACAACTGCATCCACTCCTACCCCCACAACTACAACTCAAAGATGCACAACAACTGCATCCACTCCTACCCCCACAACTACTACTGAAAGATGCTCAACAACTGCATCCACAACTGCCCCAACAACTACAACTCAAAGATGCACAACAACTGCATCCACTCCTACCCCAACAACTACTACTGAAAGATGCACAACAACTGCATCCACGACCGCCCCAACAACTACAACTCAAAGATGCACAACATCTACATCCACTCCTACCCCAACAACTACTACTGAAAGATGCACAACAACTGCATCCACGACCGCCCCAACAACTACAACTCAAAGATGCACAACATCTACATCCACTCCTACCCCAACAGCTACTACTGAAAGATGCACAATAACTGCATCCACGAGTGCCCCAACAACTACAACTCAAAGATGCACAACAACTGCATCCACTCCTACCCCAACAACTACCACTGAAAGATGCACATGCACTGCATCCACGACTGCCCCAACAACTACAACTCAAAGATGCACAACAACTGCATCCACTCCTACCCCCACAACTACTACTGAAAGATGCTCAACAACTGCATCCACGACTGCCCCAACAACTACAACTCAAAGATGCACAACAACTGTATCCACGCCTACCCCAACAACTACTACTGAAAGATGCACAACAACTGCATCCACAACTGCCCCAACAACTACAACTCAAAGATGCACAACAACTGCATCCACTCCTACCCCAACAACTACTACTGAAAGATGCACGACAACTGCATCCACTCCTACCCCCACAACTACAACTCAAAGATGCACAACACCTACATCCATTCCTACCCCAACAACTACTACTGAAAGATGCACAACAACTGCATCCACGACCGCCCCAACAACTACAACTCAAAGATGCACAACACCTACATCCACTCCTACCCCAACAACTACTACTGAAAGATGCACATGCACTGCATCCACGACTGCCCCAACAACTACAACTCAAAGATGCACAACAACTGCATCCACTCCTACCCCAACAACTACTACCGAAAGATGCACAACAACTGCATCCACGACTGCCCCAACAACTACAACTCAAAGATGCACAACAACTGTATCCACGCCTACCACAACAACTACCACTGAAAGATGCACAACAACTGCATCCACAACTGCCCCAACAACTACAACTCAAAGATGCACAACAAATGCATCCACTCCTACCCCAACAACTACTACTGAAAGATGCACAACAACAGCATCCACGACTGCCCCAACAACTACAACTCAAAGATGCACAACAACTGCATCCACTCCTACCCCAACAACTACTACTGAAAGATGCACAACAACTGTATCCACGCCTACCCCAACAACTACCACTGAAAGATGCACAACAACTGCATCCACGACTGCCCCAACAACTACAACTCAAAGATGCACAACAACTGTATCCACTCCTACCCCCATAACTACAACTGGGAGATGCACAACAACTGCATCCTCGACTGCCCCAACAACTACAACTCAAAGATGCACAACAACTGCATCCACTCCGACCCCAACAACCACCACTGAAAGATGCACAACAACTGCATGCACGACTGCTCCAACAACTCCAACTCAAAGATGCACAACAACTGCATCCACTTCTGCCGCAACAACTCCCACTCCAAGTTGCACAACAACTGCGTCTACATGTGCCACTACTACCACACAAGGATGCACAACAACTGCATCCACAAGTGCCCCCATAACTACTACTCCAATTTGCACAACAACAGCATCCACATGTGCCCCAACAACTGGCACTCCAGTATTCCCAACAACAACACCGACATGTTCTCCTCAAACCACACCAACGCCTGTCACCACAACAACTCCTTGTCCGCAAACCACACCAACGCCTGCCCCTACAACAACTCCTTGTCCGACCACATCGACTCCAACGTGTCCTCCCACAACAACGCCGAGTTGTACGACTACCCCAGCAATTACCATTCCCACGACAACTAGGACAACACCTCGTCCAATAACCACGACGCGTCGTCCTTGCCCGTGCCGGCCCCAACCTCCAATCCAGATCCCGCCGTCTTGGTGGTATCCTTACCCATCTTACCCCAACCCCATGTGGCCCTGGCAGCCTAACCCGAATATCCCGCAATGGCCACAGATACCAGGTTATCCTCAGCAGTTGCCGGCACCGTTGCCATATCCTCAGTGGCCCTGGCCTCAATGGCCAAGGCCACCAGTAGTGACGCCTACATCCAACGATTGTGAAAACATTTGCGAAAACCTGTTGAAGGGTGTGAAGTACCAGGAAGATCTCATCAGAAGGTGTTTGTGTCCACACCCATAGTTATATAAGGGTTATTTACAAAATGTTATTAGCTTATTTGCCCAATTGTTAAATTGAATATTGTTTTAATAAAATTTTTATTATAAAAAATATAAATTTGGATTTATTCAAAGGGAGAGATTTAATACAACTATTTATCATGATTGTGTAAAAAATTTGTATACTTCCAATCTAAATATGAATACATTTGAAGAAATTTAACTGAGTTTATAAAATGAAAGGCCGAAAACATAAAAAAAAGATTTTACTAGCTTGGTTTCAATTTCAAACCAGCAAATATAAAAACATTTTCATATCTTATTTATATTGTTATATTTATAAAATCAATAAGGTTACTCCAAATTATGTATATTATAGAAACAGGGAAACAAACAACAGCATGCTAAAACCGCTTTGCTGACTATTACAATAAACATACCAGTATTCGTATTCCATTGAGGTGCTACCGCTGCTGCCATTTCCTGCTCCCCTCATCTTTGGTTTCAATAATGGCAGGGCGCAGGCGCATCTTTGGATTTCTGGATTGCCATGTTTTGCTCGCCTCGTTCGCTTTCCATGGGGCCACACATCAACAAGTTTGCAGTTTGCACTCCACCTTTTGTCGCCACTTGGCTAGATTATTACTTATTTAAACGCAATCATTTGACCCATTATTTTCTGACGCCATCGCGTTGGGGTGCACTCCATTGCTCATGCGACATGTGGTCGCACTACATGTTTGTATTGTAAGCGATTGCTCAAGAGCCAGTAAAAGTTGGAACCCCCATTCGTACAGGTTTAATGACCAATTGTCAAGGGAATTGCAGAACTCACTCCTTATTAAATTGGGCTTAGCCATTAAGTGGCGGAAAAATGGATCGACGTGAGGAAAAAGTGAGCTTAACAAGTAATTATTTAATTTTTAATAGACTATTTATTTGAATGACACTTCTAAAACCAATAACTTAATGTAAAAATTAAAACCACATTATAAAATGAAATTAATTAAATTTAAAACCTACAATAAAATAGATTTTTGAAATCTCAAGGAAATAAGTATTTTCAAATATAGAAATACACTAAAATATATTTTCAACAATACAAAATAATAGGCTTAGGAAGTAATGTTTCTAATGGAAAAGAATTTCCCTTTACAGGGTATCCAAACTCAATAAGCTTTTACCTTTCCTCATCAGAGTCAACCCATAGTTTGCTGGTAATTTATCAAAAACTAGATTATTATCCTGCTGATGGATTATGTTTCGGGTCGATTAGTACCCAATTTCTAGAGGACTTCGCACCACTCCCACTAAAGTTCGTCCTTCGTCCAAGTGAGCTTGCACATTTCCTACACAATAAGCAGATGTTAATGGTTGCCTTTTTGTTGTTTTTTGTTAACTTGTTAATACAAATACACAGTGTGCCAATTCACAAATCCAACAAAGTATGGTGGACACACCAACAAAAACAGCTAGCAAGGCAAATAACAAGTTGTTGACACACAGGGGGGTTTCGAGGGTGAACCTTAGAGGTCGAAAATTTTCTATATTTGGATCTCCTTATTAAACTTAAAAGGAATTTCTTAAAATTAATAAATATATATGATACATACAAAAAATGCCAACCTACTTAAGCTTACTTATTCAAATTGAAAAGAATTGCTTACAATTCTGTAGATTAAATTACCAAGATAAGTAAAATTTACCAGCTCATTAAAAATAATGGTGTCTGGATAAAAATTTAATCATATAATTGGGATTTGGCTATAGACCTCAGATATCCTTAAAAGTAAATTTAATATCATACATGTCGTATGCGTAATTTTTGTGAAAACCAGTCCACTCTAAAGGACACACACGTGCTAACAAAGGGGGAAACGGAAAAGTCATATCCTCCACTTCCTAAAACGGGTCGGGGTGGATTTGGTTTGGCCCTGTTCAATGGTTAGCGCGCAAAAAACAATAATTTTGTTATTGTGTTTTCCCTCATAAGTGGACATGACGGACCCGACGAAAGCTCATTCAGCGCTGGACAGGCAAACTGGAAAGGTCCGAGGCGGAAGATGTCATCGCCCGCAGTGCGAATCACCTTCGTGCAGCACTTCGGACAGACAGCCTGAGCGATGGGCTGCGGCTCCTCTATGGATACGCAGACGAATCCTGTCGTCACTGAGGTCAGCTCGGAAATGCAACCTCGCCAGAATGGCGCCGCCGGAGTATTGGTTGTGTTAAGTCCTTCGACTTATGTCCTAATCCTAATCAATACCCTCCCGTTTCGTCACCAGAACATTGTCGAGCAGTATGTGCGCCTGGACGAACAGATCAGCAAGCTGGAGGGCACCTGTCCGGGTCCGCGTATGGCCACCGTCGAGGCGTGGGTGGAACACCTAAAAGGCAAGCACGAGGCGATGCTGGGACTCGAGGGCATGGGGGATGCGGCTCCGCTTCGGGAAAGGCAGAGGGAAACGGAGGAGGAGGTTCTGGCCCTTCCAAATTACACAATGGGCCGGCAGGGCGACCCAATTGTGGCCAACACACCCACGAAGGACCTGGCACAGGTAAATGGCCTGCCATTAGCGCTTGTGATGAAATTTCCTTTTGTATATTATTAACTTTCGTTATTAGCTAGCCTACAATCTGGGCGTAATTGCTGATGCCCGAAAGGCTTCCATGCACGAGGATTTCTTTGCCAGTCTCAGCGAGTCGGCTTTGCATTTGCTTAGCATTCGATACTACGGAGAGCTGCTGGAACACACTAAAGTGCGTCTGAAGACTCTGGTCGAGAGCTATGCGGAGTTGAACGAGCTGTATGTAAGGCAAGATGGGATTATAGCGTATATGAGCGGAGGAACATACATGACCCGGCTGGAGGAGAGCATTGATGAGCAGTTGGAGACGGCCAGAGATACAAGAGATAAGCTGGGCAGCACCCTGGAGCAGTGGCGCATTTGTGGATTGCTGCTTAGAGCTGCTGCCAACTCCTCAACTCAAGCATTGAAGCAGTGGAGGCAGCTGGGCAGGATGATGTGGGTAGCACAGGGAAACCATTTGTACGTTTGTAATTGAAATTGAAATACTTTCAGCGATCCCAAGCAGAAGCTACAGTGGTCTTTAGACTGCCGAAGTCTGCTTCATGCCTCCATGATCTCCTTGGAGGCGGCTCAGCTGGCCTTACCGCACGTAGAACTGAAGTACATTAGTCATCGCCAAGTTGTAGCCGTTAAGCACTGTAATACGTATCTAATCACAGACATAGCCAATAAGGCGAGGTGAGTCTTTATAAACGTCTCCTGAGAAGTCTCCTTTAATACAAGGTGAATCCTTTAAGGTACGAACACACCAGTCGCGTCTTTACCAGCTACGAATCGAATATGTCCAAGACCTGCACTTGGCTGTACGAGACCTTTAACAACACTCTGCGTCCCGACTTTGACAAAGCGGAGGAGACTGTAAGCAGATTGGCCAAGACGCTCAGGGATCATCGTGAAGAGGTGTTCAGCGCAATGCGAAAATGACAAGAAACTAAATTGCTCAATATTGTGGGTTTTTTGTACGTTACTTTAATAAACAGTAGGAATAGCATTAGTACCAATAGCTCTTCACTGGCGTGCGTTCCTCCTTGATGCCCATTTCCTCCATGATATCCATCTCAAAGGTGGACAGTTTGGGCTGGAAGGTAATTTCACCCACCACAGCGCCTAGAGTTAACAGGAATTGAATTACATAAATAGTATTGATACACGATGCATTCGCATACCTGGTGTATCCTTTTCCCTTTCGATATAGGCATTTGGTGTTTTATAATCGTGCGTCTGATTGTTTGTCTCTGGAACAGGTATAATCCTTCCCGATCGTAAGGACACACGCACCTTCTCTCCCTCCTCCGTGAAGCGCCACTCGAAGTCTGTGCCCTGCAGATCAGAGGGATCCACCAGACGAATGTCTTTGGTAACATGCAGAGGTGCCTCGGACTTGATTATGATGCCGGGAAACTCCTTCTCGCCGCCCACCTTGCGATAGTGCCAGTTGAGACCCTCGACAATGACCCAGTTCCGCTCTGGGATTACCTGGGTAACGATTCCCTGCTTTCCCTTGTCCTTGCCAACCAGGACTTCGATGCGATCGCCGCGAAAGAAGCTCCAATCCTCTGTAAAGATAATTATAATAGAATTGATGGGGATATAAAAAATTCTATTATATCTTCGACTTACCAATTGGTTCCACCAGCACCTTGCGACGCACTGTTCCGGGCATATTCTGCTGCCTGAACTGTCCAGTCCATGAACGGTTTGTTGTGTATCTGAACCGCTTCCGCTCCACTGTGCGTGGCAAGTAATTAAGTTCCTTCGGAGTTTGCCAGTACACCTGTTTAAAATGCATAGAAATATTAGAGCTTATTAATGCAGAAACATGTTTCATGCGATCTGTTACGTGAGCCTCTTAAGGCAAGTTGATCAATGAAAAGTGCTTTTTTGCTTGCCTGCTTTTTGCTGCGCTCGATGTATTCCTTGGGCAGATTGGAGAAGTTCTTCAATTTGCTGGCCAAATATTGTGTTATACGCATTTTATAAGATTAATAAAACCATTAACAAAAACTAGGAAGTTAAATGCGGCTTGCAATCAGCTGTTTGGACCTAAAGAAGAACCATTCACAACGAAGAGCAGTGTATTATTTGGTAAATGTTCATGCGGCGACTTAAATCATGAAAAATTTAACAAAATGTTAAATATTTTTCTTGTCCCTTGGGAAATTATTATTTTTTCAGAAACAAGTTTTAATTGATTTGATCTTTACATTATACTTGTTTTTGAACAAAAAAATATACTAATTCTTATCAGTATTACTTAAAAATTCACGAACAATCAAAGTATTCTCAGTGTAAACACCTTCGCTGCGAACAACAACCGCGGAAAGAAGAAGCAGCTGTTTCTTGTACTGCTCTTGGTTTTTTTTATCGTTCGCCGCAGCGCTAAATTGCAATGCAAACCGGCTTATTATAAACAAAAGGTAAATGCTAGACGATATAAATGTGGGCACGTGCAAGCACAGCTCCATTGGAAGACGCACTCGCGTACGGAGAGCGTCTGATCTGGGCAGCACCACCCATCCATCCGAGAACAGGCCTCGCAGCGCTTAGTCATATCCATAACACAGCACTCACACCCTGATAACGCAGTTCCTGCCCAGCCTTAAGTTCGTATAATAACAAGCAATATGTCCCACCACATAGATATGGAAGACCATGCCGATCCGGAGCCTGTGCTGCTCTCCAAGCACGCCAAGAACCTGCTGCGCTTCCTCAATATGTTGCCGGCTCGAATGGCCTCCCATGATAACACCAGGTAAGTGGGTCCTGAAATATCCTTTTAGGCGCTATAATCATTTTCCTTTTTCCCCAGGAGCACCATTGTTTTTTTCGCCGTCTGTGGCCTGGATGTGCTTAACTCCCTGAATCTGGTGCCGCCTCAAATGAGGCAGGACATCATCGACTGGATTTACGGCGGATTGGTGGTGCCACGCGACAACGAGAAAAAGTGCGGCGGCTTCATGGTGAGCATAAATTTGCGTCTGTCAGGTGAACAAACAGCCCGTTGAAGAGACAAACACATCCCATTCGAACTCCTTATCTCCATACGTGGCTAGGCAGCAGACACTGCGGCAGACCTTGTCCGATCTCCCAGTCTATTGGTTGTTTATCAAGCCAGTTGATATGTGGGCATTCGTATTTCCTTCTCCAAAAGGTGTCAACAAAGTTTATTTTTCCAAGCTACCTGGTTACATCGACCTGAAATGTCTTAGGATACCGAACAATTGTACAATTTGTTTTTTAATACTTGACCACGGGGCCACGTTTATTTTCTCATCACACCATATAATGCTACCTGTACTTGCACTTACTATGGCTGGTGAAATTATAGTACCAAATATGTCAGTCTTAAATCAAAGAAATTGTCTTATCTTGTTAAAAGGAATATAATTACTCATGATCTAATATATTTCATCTACCCCTTTTATACAGTTGTTTACAATGAATCTTTTAATTTGATTTATGAATGTCGTAGTTCCCTTTAAAAGTTACTGAAAAATTACACTATAAAATCCGCTTTATATGCGAAGAGAAATGAATTTTATTTGTAGTCAACGCATCAGGAAAAAATAATATTGAACTTATAATTTACATTGCTATTTTTGCGACCTTCACTGTGCGAATATGCATAATTGTAGGGGAGTTCTCCATTTGCGCAGCAGCTCGATTCCCCAGAACCAACCCCACCTACCGCCACCTTGGTTTTATCGCGCAACGCTTTATCAGCGACGCCAGCAACACGCAAAACCACTTTAAGATATATTGATCAACTTATTGAAACTCTTTGCAGGGCTGCCGAGCCATGGTGCCGAAAAGCGAGGACTCCGAAATCTTAGAATGCATGCGGAACTATCAGTGGGGGCACCTGGCCATGACTTACACCAGCCTCGCAGTGCTTGTCACCCTGGGCGACGATTTGTCCCGCCTGGATCGCAAGAGCATTGTGGACGGAGTTGCTGCAGTGCAGAAGGCGGAGGGCAGTTTTAGCGCCTGCATCGATGGCAGCGAGGATGATATGCGATTCGTTTACTGCGCCGCAACCATTTGTTACATGCTGGACGACTGGGGCGACGTAAACAAGGAGACCATGTTTCAGTTTATTGTTCGGAGCCTGCGATACGATTACGGTTTTAGCCAGGAGCTAGAGGGCGAGGCCCATGGTGGCACCACATTCTGTGCCTTGGCAGCATTGCATCTTAGTGGACAGTTACATCGCCTGGATGCAGCGACGGTGGAGCGAATGAAGCGTTGGCTTATCTTCCGACAAATGGATGGCTTCCAGGGACGTCCCAATAAGCCGGTCGACACCTGTTACTCCTTCTGGATTGGCGCTTCGCTCTGTATTCTGGACAGCTTCGAGCTAACTGACTACGCCAAGAATCGGGAATACATACTGAGCACACAAGACAAGTTAATAGGTGGCTTTGCCAAGTGGCCGCAGGCCACACCAGATCCATTTCACACATACCTTGGACTCTGCGGTCTGGCCTTCACCGGAGAGCCCGGGCTGAGTCCCGTGAACCCCAGTTTGAACATGTCCATGGCCGCCTACGTCCACCTGCAGCACCTTCACGAGCAGTGGCGATCTGGAGATGGTCGGGGCGACGAAGATCTCTCCTTGAGCTCTGCCGCCAAGCAGCAACTAAAACTAAGTGACGTAGCGAAATCAGCCACATCGACTACCTGTAGTTCGCCATTGATTCCGGCACAATGATGGGAATCCGCACCAAGTTCAAGGGAAATGTTGAAGCACACTATTGTATTTATATTGGCCGCATTTTAGCCACGCTTTTTTACCTGTATTCTAAGCGAAAAGCTCGAGCTTTCGGAGAGAAAGATGAATAGGTAATATTTTTATTGTACAGCCTAAATTAATGTTAACAAAGTGTAATATTAAGCTTAAAAGTAAATTAAAGCGTCCCATGCTAAGGCATGTATTTACAGCAAAAACATTGGATAGCCTCGAAAGCCTCCTTGGTACTTTGGGTTTATTGGTCCGGAGTCAGGGATTTATCTCACACCTGCAGGAACAGGCGATGGTGTTGCATGGTCGGCATGTAACCCATGCCCGGTCGATCGATGTGCACACGTCCGCGGAGAGGGGCCAACACCCGTTCCGTGACCAGGGGACAGCGCTGCACCATCAGCGACTGAAGGAGGGGGCAACTCTGGGTGAGGGCGCTGCGGAAGAGGGGAGAACGAAGTGGAGGCTAGTAAACAAGAAAATCGCTGGGATAGAAGTCGTTCAGATTGTAGGCGTTGTGTCCCACGTCCTGCTGTGGTCTATCGATGTAGAGGCGCCGCTGTCGGAGCGGCGCCAAGGAGTGTTCCGTGACCCGCGGACAACGGCGGATGAGCAGGGTCTGGAGACGCGGACAATGCACTGTCAAAGCGCTGAAAAATACGCAGATGCGGATGCAGATGCATTTTCGTTTCCCCAGAAACACACACAGAAGGAACGCACAAACTAGAGACAAAAGACCACATAGGTTAGGGATTACTTACTGCACTCCATAGTCGGAGATGGCAGCACAGCCAATGAGGTTGATGTGCTCCAGCTCGCGGCAATAATTCCCGATCTGGATGAGCACCTGGTCGGTCACACTGGGCGTATTCGCGAGCGACAGGACGGTAAGCTTATTGAGTTTCCGGAAGAAGATAATCAGGCAGCGTTCTCCAATGGCTCCACAGTAGGAGATGTCGAACTCCACCAGCTTGCTCTGGTGCAGCGTCAATGCATCTACGGCTCCCGTCGTCAGCCACTGACACTTGGACAGCTTAAGCACTCGAAGATCTTTGCACTCCACGATGATTGGCTGGAGCGAGAGGGCTGTAATGTTGATGCACTCGTTCAGGTTGACGGCCCACAGCCGTCTCTTGTTGTTGGCCAGCAGTGGGAGGAGCAGTTCATCCGTCAGCCAACGGCAGCAGGCCAAGTGGAGCACCTCAAGCCGGCGACAACAGCGAGCCAAGACTCGAAAGCCCACATCGATATTGCTTGTGTTGTTCCCGGAGAGATGCAGTTCCTGCCGTTTTTCCAGTGCAGCCTCCACGAAGCGTAGCGCGGTACGCGAGCAGCAGCGCAGGTTGAAGAGATCCTTGAGTGACAGGTAGACGGCCACCTGCGGGATGAGCACATCGTCCCAGCAGACATCAAATAGCGACCGTGGTGGGGGATTTGACATGGAGAAGACTGGCCTTGGGCTGGGCGTGCTGGTTCGGGAACCACAGCTGCCCATGGCTGCCAGGTGGGCCTCCTCCTCGGGATGCAGTGTGCACATGGTGCCGCCTCCGGTTACGAGATCTGCCCTCCGAACAGAGCACTCCCAACGCAATCTTCAGCTGCACGGCGAGAACGTAATTCTGTTGTTTACTCGCAAGCAATCAGCTGTTGCCATTCACAGAAAATAGACAACATATTAGTGTGCCCCTTATGTTCTAATACTACTCATGTTTAGTATTTTGACCAGTATTTGTTACAAAATTTAAAAATCTGTGAAAATGAACATAGGTGACCCCGATTCTTTCCTTGGATCTGGCCAAAGCATTCCATTTAAACAAACATTACCTCCCACTTTAAAAACGAATAATCCAAATTTGAATCCTAACTATTTAAGTTTTTAAATATTTATTATGTTTAAAAGCCCAATTTTCGTAAAGCCCAATTTCCCTTCCTTAATCTTTCCCCTACGTCCAAGACGATAGAGCTGCGCAATATTTTAATGAATGAGTTGCAGTCCGGACTAAACACGAGCCCGAAAGTGTGGGGTTTGGATCGGTGTAGTAGAGAGTACTTTGTAATGATGGTGCCGAAAGTTAAAGGCGTGCGAAATTAACTTGATAAGATTGCCGAGCCGTTATCCAAGTGGATTGAACTTTCGAGTACCGAGGAAGATCCTCACCGATATGATTAGAGTTTGTGGTATATAAATCACTGCCGGGCAGCAGACAAGCCAGTTGTACTCAAGTTGTCAACATGAAGCTGTTCCTTACTGTCCTGGCCGTGGCTGTTGCCTGTGCCAACGCTCTGCCCCAGAAGGCGCAGCCGATGCCCCTGAAGGATGCCATCGTGGGTCCTGGAGCCGGTTCGATCGAGGGTCGCATCACCAACGGCTATGCCGCCTCCGAGGGCAAGGTTCCCTACATCGTGGGTCTGGGCTTCAGCAGCGGCAGCGGTGGCTGGTGGTGCGGTGGCTCGATCATCGGCAACACCTGGGTGGTGACGGCTGCTCACTGCACCCACGGCGCCGACTCTGTGACCATCTACTACGGAGCCCTGTGGCGTCTGCAGCCCCAGTACACCCACACCGTGGGCAGCGGCAGCTTCCGCCAGCACTCGAACTACAACACCAACAACCTGAACAACGACATCTCGCTGATCAACACCCCGCACGTGGACTTCTGGCACCTGGTCAACAAGGTGGAGCTGCCCAACGGCAACGAGCGCTACAACAACTTCGCCGGCTGGTGGGCTCTGGCCTCCGGATGGGGCAGGCCCTGCGATAGCTGCGGCGTGTCTGACTATCTGAACTGCGTGGACTCCCAGATCATCGATCGCAGCGAGTGCTCCGGCGTCTATGGCACCGATGTGGTCACCGACAACGTCATCTGCACCTCCACCCCCGGCGGCAAGTCCACCTGCGCCGGCGACTCCGGCGGTCCCCTGGTCCTTCACGACGGCAACAAACTGGTCGGTGTCACCTCCTTCGTGGCCGCCAACGGATGCACCTCGGGCCTGCCCGATGGCTTCACCCGCGTCACCAGCTACCTGGACTGGATCCGCGACCACACCGGCATCTCCTACTAAGCAGCTTGGTTTCGTTTTTTGAAATAAACTGTTTTGCATTTAACCCACGATTGTTTTATGAATCCAAAACTAAGAATAATAATTCACTAACGATTAATTTTAAGGGTTTTTAGAGACTTAAAGATCAAGTTCAGAACTGGAATCCATTCAACTAAAAAAATGTAGTGTAGTTCAACTTTTCAAAGTCAGGGTAAAATAGTGTAAAATAGTAAGTGTTAAAATCGGACGAATCGACCGGCTATAATTATCTCAAGCTCTCAAAAAGGCGAGTTTTTATTTCTTAATTGGGAGTAATTTAAGATTGACGTTTTTAATTTTATATTTTATAATTGTACCATTTTGGCCTTCCAGGAAGGTGAGCAAAGCCGATACTTTTGTGTGCAAACCTTTCGCTATTAAGGTGGAATTAAAAAGAAATATTCCTCAAAAGGCTGTGGGTCTAATACTATCCAACTTCAGCCATATTATTGCTAGCTCAAGCTTAGCCAAATTACCAATCATCAAATGATAGTCATGGCTACTCCCGATCCTTTGTTACTTTAAAAAATCTAAAACGTCTAAGCGGTTTGCTCATTTAATGCTCGATTTATTTAAGAAAGTTAGTAAGAGATGCCAGTGTGGTCGCGGATCCAGTCCAAGTGGTAGGTGACGCGCTGGAATCCAGCGGGAGCACCCGACTGGCAGCCGTTGGAGGAGACGAAGTTGCTGACTCCCACCAGCTTGTTGCCGTCGTGTGTGACCAGGGGGACCGCCGGAGTCTCCTCCGCAGATGGACTTGCCGTCGACGGTGCGGGTGCAGATGGTGTTGTCGCCCACGCTGCCGTAGGTCCAGTTGCACTCGTCGTTGTGGACGATCTGGAGGTCGACGCACTGCAGCCAGTCGGGCAGCGGGCTGCCGTCGTAGGTGCCGCCCCATCCGCAGGCCACGGCCCACCACTCGTTGTAGTTGTTGTAGCGGTCGTTGTAGCTGGGCAGCTCCACCTTGTTGACCATGTGCCAGAAGTCCACGTGAGGGATGCGGATCAGGGCGATGTCGGCGTTGGAGTGCTTGATGAAGTTGTTGTTGGCGACGGTGTGGGTGTACTGGGCGTTGGTGCGCCAGGTGGCCCCGAAGTAGACGGTCACGGAGGCGGCATCTCCGATGCAGTGCTCGGCGGTCAGGACCCAGTCGTTGGCAATGATGGAGCCACCGCACCACCAGCCTCCGCTGAAGCCGAGACCCACGGTGTAGGGAGCCTTGCCCTCGGGGGCGGCGTATCCGTTGGTGATACGGCCCTCCATCTTGGTGGCCTTGGGCAGGTCCTTCACGAAGACCTTCTCGTCGAAGGCGGCGGCCGAAGCCACGGCCAGAGCCAGGATAGCTAGGAACACCTTCATGTTGATGTCGATAACTGACTTCTGTTCCCGGAGTAGCCGTCTTTATACGCTTCCCCAGTCCGTAGTACTATCTGCAGCTTAACAGGGTTCGTAAATATCCCTTAAGAGACCCATAAATGATGTCAGTGATAAGACTAAGAATTGGCTTCCTATTCGGTGGCCCCCTAGAAGTCCTATAAATCTATACGATTGTATTAAAGCAAGTAATATCAATAATTGCAACTATAAGATTTAACATTTTATTTATGATAATCTAAATTAATTAGAATGCACCGAAAATGGCACAACTCATTAAAAGCGCACTGTCATTTTTGATAAGATTATTATTATTATTAACAGCCATCGAAAGAAATGAACATTATGGAGGTAAAGTTTAGTACAAATCTGTAAATTCAACGTATTTTTGTAAGTTTTCTTATTTCAAGTATGGAACTTTTATAAAAACGTATATGTAGTATAAATTAACTATCTATTTGAAATAGCTAATTCAAACTCTATGATAAGAAAATTAACGGAAATGTCAAATTTATGTTTAGATTGTATGTCTTTGAACATCTGTCTGGCGATGAACTTCCACTATCTTAAATCAGAGATATTTATTGCTTATTAGTATTTTAGATTATATATATATATTGAAATGGTGGTTAATCAAAATTTTGTAAATTTAAGTTTTGGATTTGCCACATGCGCAAAAGCTTTATCTTATCGACAGTACGCACCAGAAGTAAACAAATCCCTTAGATTCTATCGAACGTAAAATCGAGATTATTATAATTAGATAATGGGCAAGATAATGATTAGAAAAAAAATACAAATGAAAATAAAGTTTTTCTTAAATTTATAACTGTAAATTTAGTCTTGTTATATATACAGTTATTTGACAGGTAACAGTATTTTCTAAATAAGTAGGTAAGGTATACGGTACTTATAAGGTATACGGTAAAATAATCATATAAGTAAAAGGTACTTTAAATGGTGCTTGAATTTTTGAGACAGTAAAATATAAATGTAGAAAACTTGTGATTTTGTTATTAAAAAGTGCTTTTATATAGGAATTTTAGCAAATGAGAATGGAGTATTCTAGGTCCTCAGTCTGTGCACTTAACTAGAAAGCTTTTACTAGTACTTTGCTGATTATTAGGAGATACTTAACCTATTAATCAAATCAAAAGATAATGCAAGTAAACAGAAGAAATTTAGTGGAGGATTCTGTATCAACCTTAGCAACAGCATGTTTTAAATTCGTTTTCAACAAATTCGAAATGGGAAACTCCATCTACGCAAAAAACCCCACATGTATAAACCATACCAATCTTATGATGGTGAATTATAACCTCTACTATATAATATCAGTATAAAAGTTTTGATATTTTTTTTGTTGACGAACACAAACTTCAGGTTAAGAGATCATTGTAAATTTGAAAGTGATTAACATTATGATTAGATAGAATACTCTGCATGAGCTGACAAACATGGTTATAAATGTTAATAAGACTTTTAAAAAAAGAGAACAGTAAATACTAGTTTGAAGTCGAAAAACCTACCAATATTATGAACACATCACACAGACTGGTTAAAAAAAAAAATACCTTTAGCAAAATGTCATGAAGTTGGTTTCTTCCGGCAGAGGAAAGTAGCTCCTTTCTGCTCTTATCAATGCCATCGTTTATGAAAGTCTTGAGGAATATTTACAAGCCCATTCAAGTTTCAGATAGGAATGGTAGGAACTGAGCTCTGGGAGGGTGTATATAAGGCCGCCAATTTGGCATAGAAGTCAGTTATCGACATCAACATGAAGGTGTTCCTAGCTATCCTGGCTCTGGCCGTGGCTTCGGCCGCCGCCTTCGACGAGAAGGTCTTCGTGAAGGACCTGCCCAAGGCCACCAAGATGGAGGGCCGTATCACCAACGGATACGCCGCCCCCGAGGGCAAGGCTCCCTACACCGTGGGTCTCGGCTTCAGCGGAGGCTGGTGGTGCGGTGGCTCCATCATTGCCAACGACTGGGTCCTGACCGCCGAGCACTGCATCGGAGATGCCGCCTCCGTGACCGTCTACTTCGGGGCCACCTGGCGCACCAACGCCCAGTACACCCACACCGTCGCCAACAACAACTTCATCAAGCACTCCAACGCCGACATCGCCCTGATCCGCATCCCTCACGTGGACTTCTGGCACATGGTCAACAAGGTGGAGCTGCCCAGCTACAACGACCGCTACAACAACTACAACGAGTGGTGGGCCGTGGCCTGCGGATGGGGCGGCACCTACGACGGCAGCCCGCTGCCCGACTGGCTGCAGTGCGTCGACCTCCAGATCGTCCACAACGACGAGTGCAACTGGACCTACGGCAGCGTGGGCGACAACACCATCTGCACCCGCACCGTCGACGGCAAGTCCATCTGCGGAGGAGACTCCGGCGGTCCCCTGGTCACACACGACGGCAACAAGCTGGTGGGAGTCAGCAACTTCGTCTCCTCCAACGGCTGCCAGTCGGGTGCTCCCGCTGGATTCCAGCGCGTCACCTACCACTTGGACTGGATCCGCGACCACACTGGCATCTCTTACTAACTTTCTTAAATAAATCGAGCATTAAATGAGCAAACCGCTTAGACGTTTTAGATTTTTTTAAAGTATCAAAGGATCGGGAGTAACCATGACCATCATTTGATGATTGGTAATTTTGATAAGCTTGAGCTAGCAATAATATGGCTGAAGTTGGATAGTATTGGACCCACAGCCTTTTGAGGAATATTTCTTTATAATTCAACCTTAATAGCGAAAGGTTTGCACACAAAAGTATCGGCTTATAAAATATAAAATTAAAAACGTCAATCTTAAATTACTCCCAATTAAGAAATGAAAACTCGCCTTTTTGAGAGCTAGAGATAATTATGGCCGATCGATTCGTCCGATCTTAACACTTACTATTTTACACTATTTTACCCTGACTTTGAAAAGTTGAACTACACTACATTTTTTTAGTTGAATGGATTCCAGTTCTGAACTTGATCTTTAAGTCTCTAAAAACCCTTAAAATTAATCGTTAGTGAATTATTATTCTTAGTTTTGGATTCATAAAACAATCGTGGGTTAAATGCAAAACAGTTTATTTCAAAAACGAAACCAAGCTGCTTAGTAGGAGATGCCGGTGTGGTCGCGGATCCAGTCCAGGTAGCTGGTGACGCGGGTGAAGCCATCGGGCAGGCCCGAGGTGCATCCGTTGGCGGCCACGAAGGAGGTGACACCGACCAGTTTGTTGCCGTCGTGAAGGACCAGGGGACCGCCGGAGTCGCCGGCGCAGGTGGACTTGCCGCCGGGGGTGGAGGTGCAGATGACGTTGTCGGTGACCACATCGGTGCCATAGACGCCGGAGCACTCGCTGCGATCGATGATCTGGGAGTCCACGCAGTTCAGATAGTCAGACACGCCGCAGCTATCGCAGGGCCTGCCCCATCCGGAGGCCAGAGCCCACCAGCCGGCGAAGTTGTTGTAGCGCTCGTTGCCGTTGGGCAGCTCCACCTTGTTGACCAGGTGCCAGAAGTCCACGTGCGGGGTGTTGATCAGCGAGATGTCGTTGTTCAGGTTGTTGGTGTTGTAGTTCGAGTGCTGGCGGAAGCTGCCGCTGCCCACGGTGTGGGTGTACTGGGGCTGCAGACGCCACAGGGCTCCGTAGTAGATGGTCACAGAGTCGGCGCCGTGGGTGCAGTGAGCAGCCGTCACCACCCAGGTGTTGCCGATGATCGAGCCACCGCACCACCAGCCACCGCTGCCGCTGCTGAAGCCCAGACCCACGATGTAGGGAACCTTGCCCTCGGAGGCGGCATAGCCGTTGGTGATGCGACCCTCGATCGAACCGGCTCCAGGACCCACGATGGCATCCTTCAGGGGCATCGGCTGCGCCTTCTGGGGCAGAGCGTTGGCACAGGCAACAGCCACGGCCAGGACAGTAAGGAACAGCTTCATGTTGACAACTTGAGTACAACTGGCTTGTCTGCTGCCCGGCAGTGATTTATATACCACAAACTCTAATCATATCGGTGAGGATCTTCCTCGGTACTCGAAAGTTCAATCCACTTGGATAACGGCTCGGCAATCTTATCAAGTTAATTTCGCACGCCTTCAACTTTCGGCAATATCATTTCAGAGTACTCTCTACTCCGCCCCATCCAATCGCCACACTTTCCGGCTCATGTCTTGTCTGGACTCGAATACCCCACCGCCACTCATTCATTAAAAGATTGTATTGTTCTATCGTCTTGGACGTGCGGCCACTTGGAGCTTATCTCCCGATAGGTCCTGATAAGCACCCATTCATGCCCCAAGCCACAACTACATTGCCCACTCGAACAGAAGCGGGAAAAGATTAAGGATTCCACAGGAAAACTTGTCTTTTAAACACAATAAATATTTAGAAAGTTAAATTACTAGGTTTTAAATATTAAAGAAACGGGATTGTGAGCTCAAGAGTTTTGTAGGTTACTTATTCATATTTTATTATTAAAGTCTTAAAATTAAATCTAGTAAATTAAAATATAGGTATATAACCATTTTTAAAATGAATATGAAATCATTTTTGAAATGAATGAAGAATTCCGAGGGGTCTCTTATTAACAGGCCATAAGTCGGCGATTACTTTCTGCCCAGTAATGAAGTCGCCAATGGATTTTGTAGATCAAAACGACCTTAATCAACTGTGATATCAGATGACGTCAATATAGGCTTATATTTATTAGAATTATTCAAAAATCAACAAAGTGAGGCAAATAGCCCGATTAAATTGCCACCAATACTACTATTTCTAATCATTTTAAATTAAAAGAAATACCAACTAAACTACGAGGAATTCCAAGCGTGTTACGTGACGAAAGAATAGCATTGCATATGTATATATCCGAACGATCTGGTATCTTGGGTAGATCCGGGAATCCAGGTGTACTAGGATGCGAAGAAATTTATGTGCTAATACCCTGATATATACATCGTTATTAAATAAATGTTAACTTAATCGAGGACAGTATTTGTATGCTTAGGAAAAACACAAATAATCTGTATGAAATAGAATATTATACTACTAATAAAATTTCTATAATTTCTCGCGGTAATATCGAAAACGATGACAAGTCAAAAGATCTTTTAACTTAAAATATTCGTTTTGTATTGAAAAAACCAACCAAAGTTTTTAAAAGGTAGCTATAAAATAATTTAAATATTTGGATAAAAGCTCAACCATAAATTTAAAACAATGAATATTTTTTATGCATTTAATTTATTTAAAAAAAGCAGTAAAATCGAGCTTAGTAGTAAGCAACACCGGAGTTGTCGCGGATCCAATCCAGCTGGTTGGTGACGCGAGTGAATCCGGAGGGCAGACCAGCGGTGCATCCGTTGCCGGAGACCCAGGAGGTGACTCCCACCAGGCGGCCGCCGTCGTGGAGCACCAGGGGGCCACCAGAGTCGCCGGAGCAGGTGGACTTGCCGCCGGGGGTGGACACACAGAGGATGCCATCGGGCTGGTTGCCATAGGTGCGGGAGCACTCAGAGTTGCTGATGATCTGCAGGTCGACGCACTCCATCCAGTCGGGCTGGGATCCGGCGGTAGTCAGTCCCCATCCGCAGGCGACGGCCCACGAGTTGTCGTACATGTTGTAGCGGTCGTTGAAGCTGGGCAGCTCAACCTTGTTGACCATGTGCCAGAAGTCCACATGCGGGGTGCGGATCAGGGCGATGTCGTTGCCGTTCTGGTCGGGCCAGTTGTGGTTCTGGATGAAGTTGCCGCTGCCAACAGTGTGGGTGAACTGGGCGTTGGTGCGCCAGGTGGCTCCGTAGTAGATGGTCACCTGTCCGGCATTGTTGGTGCAGTGGGCAGCAGTGAGCACCCAGTCGTGGGCGATGATGGAGCCACCGCACCACCAGCCTCCGTTACCGCTGAATCCCAGGCCAACCGTGTAGGGGGCCTTGCCCTCGGTTGCCGGGTATCCGTTCACAATGCGGCCATTGAGCTTGGAGTCCCTCTGCAGATCCTTGGGGTGGACCTGCTGGGCAACCTCAGCGGAAACAGCGGCCAGAGCCAGAGCCAGTACTACGAACACTTTCATGGTTAGTGGATCACTTGTGTTCCCTCCCAGACATCCATCCGCTTTTATTTCGCCTCCTTATCTCAATTTTGAGTAGCCCCACTCGGAGTTATCCTATCTCAATGCGTTCATCGCAATTTTGCCTGCTGATACGAATGGAAATTAATTGATAGCACGTTTGAGAACATCTTGATAGCTTAAATTTTAATTTTTAGGGGAGGGTCCCATGGAAAAGTTAAAGTAAAAAATAAACTTATCACAGTTAACAGTTAATAATTTCAAAAAAGGGATTGTTACTGCTGGTATAAGCTAATGATAATGAGTTAAACGATTAAGCATCGAGACTCGAAATATTTATTCCGAAAAAGGTTATATTTCGTCAAAATAATAAAATCATGACTACATCATTTCAACGCCAATTTTTACTCGAACAAATAAACCAATATAATTATATGTTAACTTAACTATGTGGAAGGATCAATTAATATTGAGTGATAACATAGCAATCAAACAAACATTTATGTATCATTACACAAATTTAAGTTACAATTTAAGTATTTTTGATAGTTAAAATAATAAATAAACATTTGTAGTTATATTCTTTAAATTACGCGCCTTGTATCAAACATTTTATTTCTATTTCGTAAAATGAAACTCAGAGCAGCTGGTCACACTTAAACATGCATTTGTGTATTTAATCCGCCAAATTTCGTTAATTGCCTTATCACAGCATGTCCACTTGCAGTTCGTCCGAAATAGCGGAGAAGAAGCGCCTTGCGCTGGCCAAGCTGCAAGCCAAGAAGTCCCAACTACTGGCCAACGCATCCAGCGGAAAGTCATCCACAGCTCCTCCAGCAAATGCGCAGCAACAAGTCCGGAATCAAAATGCGAGTCCCAATCAACCGCTGGCCAAATCCCCACTGAACTTCTACAGATCTCCGCCAGCAGTGCAGCAGAAGATCGCCAGGACTGCCACCACGTCCAGCGACAACAAGAGCTCGTCCTTCCTAAACGCTCTAAAGGCAATTAAACAGACCTCTAGTCGGGAATTATCCCGGTCAGCCGCACATCCCTACCAGCGGCCAAATGGAGATAATGAAAAAAGCAAGCCCACACTCTCACTTGCTCCGGAGAAGGAAAAACCAGTGACTTTTGTAATAGGCAACTCCATCACCTGCAATCTCTACATGATCAGCACGCATCGGTTCGCCGCCCAAACCTCGGGGTATCATGAAAAGCTGATAGCCGTGTTCAAGAACATGCCCACCAGATCCTACGAAAGTCAAACCCGTATCTGGAGTTTTGATCTTACGGACTACCAATCCCTTCAGACTCATGTAGCGGATCTAAATCCACATGTCCACTTGGTCTGCATTCCAAAAAAGGTGTTGGATCTCTGCCAGCAGAAGCCTGTGGTTTTGGAAATGAGTGTTTTAGCTTCCATTGAACCCAAGCTGGCGGACATGCTAATGCCCTTCCAACAGGAAGGGGTGTGGTAAGTTTCAATTATAATATACTTCAAAACGAGTACTTACAAGAGTTCTTTAAATCCCCAGCTTTTCCATTGCTCAAAAAGGCCGAATTATGATTTGTGATGAAATGGGCCTGGGCAAGACTTATCAGGCCCTGGCAGTGGCCGACTATTTCAAGGATGATTGGCCCTTGCTCATCATTACCACCGCCTCCACAAGAGACAGTTGGGCGAAGCACATTGTGCAACTGCTGCCCAAGGTGCCCATCCACTATGTACAAGTGCTTAACAACAATCAGCAATATGTAGGCGATGCCCAGGTGCTTATCACCAGCTACAACATGATGGAACGGCACATGGCAATGCTGCAGCAGCGAAAGTACGGTTTCATCATCTTCGACGAGTCGCACACGCTTAAGAACAGCAAGGCCAATTGCACAAAAGCGGCTCAAAAGCTCAGGGATCAAGCCAAGCGGGTGGTCTTGCTATCCGGAACTCCAGCTCTTTCCCGTCCTTTGGAACTTTTCACACAGCTCCAACTGGTCGATGGAAAATTTATGACTTTCAAGGAGTTTAGTAAGTAAAGGATTAATTTGCTTTGATTTAAGCTTTAAAAAATTAAAATTTTTACAGCCACTCGGTACTGTGATGGCAAGCAGTCGACGTTTGGCTGGGATGCCAGCGGACAATCCAATCTGGAGGAACTAAGGGTTATGCTTACTCTTAAATATATGCTGAGGCGAACGAAATCGGAGGTGCTACCACAGCTCGCTGAAAAGAATCGGTGGGGACCTCAATTTTTTAAGACATTTAATTAGAACTTCAACTATTTATTTTCGTCCGCAGTGAAACGGTGGTTCTGGATCCCGCTTTGGTATGGACCAGCGACGTAACCAAGGATTCCTTGGATGTCTTTAACAAAGAGCTGAAAACAAGCAAAGGCAGAGCGATGGAGGAAATTTTGCTACGCTTTTATGCACGGACTGCCGAAGTGAAAGCCCCCGCCGTGTGGTAATTATATTTTCTTTAATATAAATAAGAAGATTTATATGTATTTATTTTTTAGTGCCTATCTAAAAACCTTGGTTAAGGAGCAGAAAAAGTTTATAATTTTTGCTCATCATCGGATCATGATGGATGCCATTAGTAATTGTCTCAGTGGATTAAAAGTAGACTACATACGCATCGATGGGCAGACGCGGAGCGATCTCAGGTCGAATTTTGTGGATACATTTCAAAAGAAGAGCAGCTGTAAGGTGGCGCTGCTCTCCATTAAAGCCTGCAATTCAGGGATCACACTTACTGCAGCAGAGATTATTGTATTTGCTGAACTGGACTGGAATCCTAGTGTAAGTTGGAACATATAGTGTAGAATTATAATTGCAATAATGTCTTTTTTATGCCTTTAGACCCTGGCTCAGGCTGAAAGTCGTGCCCATCGCATTGGCCAGACAAAGCCGGTGATTTGTCGCTATTTAATGGCCAATAATACAGCAGACGATACCATCTGGAACATGCTGAAAAACAAGCAGGAGGTGCTCAGTAAAGTGGGTATCTTTGCCGAGAATCTTCAGAAGGCCACGCACACAGCTGCGCCCATTTCGGTATGTCGGATAACTTATACTTTAATGGTAAATCTTTTGCTAACTTCGTATACTTTAAAGTCACACAAAATTGAGGAATTCTTCTCGCCCGCCAAATCCAACTGTTCTAATCCGGAGAAAGGTTCTATAAAACAATACTTTTCGCCTGTTACAGCCAAAGCGCCAAGTGAAGAAAATAATAATACCAAAAAAGCCAAGGAAAGCAATGCTCCTTCGGATATTGTGGCCTTCTTTAACGATGATGATGATGAGGCTTTTATGGATTTAGATATTTAGATTTAGGAATTATATTTTGCATTTTTAAATGAATTAATTTTAATAAATTGAAGTTGAGAATGTTAACGAAATTTATTAAAACATAAAAGATCTTAGTAGAAATAGGAATAATAGTTAGAATAACTTTTAGAACTGAGTGTACAATTGAACTTAAGAACCTAATTCGTACTCCCCCATCTGCGCATGATCCACGTTTCAACGAATCTTCACAGCCAGCCGGCCTTTCGTGCCCTGGCAACAGGCAAACAAACACTCAAGCAAAACTTTTCACATGTATCAAATAAATAAATACACAACTTGGCAAAAGTTTTATTAACTGATAGATATAATGGACGCTTCGCAGCCGGAATCTGAGTTACTGGGCGAAGAGGAGGAGGTGGACAACGAGGAACACATATCCTTTCCCCGTGATATCATCAGCGTAGAGTGAGTATTAACTTCCCCACAAATCCTTCGATATCCATATTTTCTTTTTCCAGACACTCCTTTGGCTATGATTGTAAGAAACTCTTCAATTTGGTACTGGTGGATTCTGACACACTGGTCTTTGGCTCGGGAAACTTCCTCAATTATTTTAGCATTTCGCGTCAGGAGATTTCGTTTCAGGAAACAATCTACGGCTGCGGAATAGGGTTTATCACGGTATGTTCTTTGCTTTCTTCCTTCTGAGTGGTATTTTATAATAACAGATATTCAGAAAAACGAGCATCCGGACTACACCAATCTCTTTACGGTGGGCGAAAACGGGCCACGACCCACGATTTTTATCTACGAGTATCCTTCGCTCAATGTCCGTATAAAGCTTTTAAATGCAGCCAAGACTTGTTTTACGGCTGGCTCTTATAATAAGACTGGGGAGTTGTTCGCCTCGCAAGCGGGATATCCGGATTTCATCATCACCATCTGGCGCTGGGAGAAGGCAGAGGTCGTGCTGCGGGCCAAGTCCTTCCAGAGTGACATCTTGTTCGTGCATTTTTCTGAACACAACCCCATCCTGCTCTGTTCATCGGGTATTAGCCACATCAAGTTCTGGAAGATGGCCAATACTTTTACTGGCCTAAAGTTAAAGGGGGATTTGGGCCGTTTTGGCAAAACGGACTTCAGCGATATCTATGCCATGTACATGCTGTCGGATGAGAATGTGATCTCTGGGAGCGATTGGGGCAACATGCTGCTCTGGCAGGCGGGGCTCATCAAATTCGAGATCTGCCGGAAAGGTAGAAAGCCCTGCCATACGAAACCCATAAGCAGGATAACCATGAAGAACGGTGAGGTGACGACGGTGGGCATGGACGGATATGTGCGCGTCTGGTACTGGGAAACTGTGGACTTGGCCGATCCGCCCGAGGATGATTTATTCGTCGAGATCGACCCGATCTATGAGTTCAAGATCGCCGATGTGGAGCTACGCTGCATGCAGAAAATCCATCCCTTTGACGAGTCGGACTTCACCCACTATGCCCAGGATGGAAACGGTGGAATTTGGTTCTGCGACATCAACACCTACGACGTGCCCCAGAAGCCGCGCAAGCTTTACTCCTGCATTGGCGGCAAGGTACTCACTTCCCAGATGTCCCCGGTGTCGCCGCATTTTCTGTGCATGTCAGAGAACGGAAAGCTGTTTGTGTATGAGTACGAGGAGCAGCGTCTGATCCTGGAGAAGCAGTTCCCGGCGGACGGAGTCGATGTGCTCTGGCTGGATACCCAGATCTCGGTCAAGGGCACGGAAATAGTGGCGGCCTTTAAGGACGGCATCCTCCGGCAGCTGTATCTGGACCTCAGCAATATGGAACGGCCAACAATGACGCGGGTGAGAGCCTTTAAGGCTCACACATCCCCAATCACCGGACTCACCGTAAATCGGACCAGCAGTCTGCTCCTAACCGGCAGCGCCGACAAGAGCATATTCATCTACCAATTGAGCCGGGATGAAAATCAGCTGGTGGACATGCATCCCCTGGGTTTTGTCCAGTTTGCGGCGATCCCGAACTGCTTCTACTGGCACGAAGAGGAGCCCACTGTGGTCCTGGTGGGCTGCAAGAGTGGTGAACTGTACGAGTACAATATCCGCACCGAGGTCACCGAAGAGGAGACCTACCTATCCTACAACATCACAGAGAATTCACGCATGCGCAGTACGAAATTTGCATCCATCAAAAGCCGCATCCGAAGGGAAATCAATCGGGAAAACGCAAAGAAGCGCAAGGAAAGGAAACGGGAGCGCAAGATGCACGAGGTCGAGAAGCTGAAGAAGGCCAATCCCGGTCTGCAGATCGACATGGAGTCGGCGTTGGCCGACTCGGAACCGGATGAGGAGGAGGAGGCGCTGCATATTCCGGCCGTGCCCAATGCTATCATCTGGATGCGGTACACGGAGAGGAATACCATCTGGGTGTCCATGGCGGGCTACGATGCGGGCTATGTCTACGAGCTGGAGTTCGATGCGCCGGAGCCCACCTATGCCACTATCATAGCAGATGGGGATGATATGGAAATACACTCCTACTGCATTATGTGAGTATTTGGCTACCCCTAAAGGAATTTCATGACCATGATCTCCATCTACCCACTATTTCTTCCTCTCCAGCGACGACTTTATTATCTTTGGTCTTATGAACGGACGCCTTCGAATCAATCGCATCAATCCGGACAACTTTACGGACCTCTCCGAGTACCGTATCTATCCCATGCACGATGGCCTGAAGGGCACTATTCCCAAAATCGATACCAGTTTCAATGGTGAGCATTTGCTGTCCGTTGGCTTCGATGGAAACGTGTTTCTCCACAAGTGGTACGGTCCGAAGCTCGTTAAAAACAGGCGAAGGGACAATCTTCCGCCCCTGCCGGCTGAGGTTAGCCAGATTCCCGACATCGACGAGGAAGCACCATCCCTGGAACAAGAAAAGATCAACGCGGAGCTGCGACGCCAACAGGAAGCAGCCGAGGCGCACGATCGGGACGTGCTGAACAAAATCGGATTGCTGCAGAACGTCTACTTCGACATAATCAAGCACAACGATGAGCTGCCTCCGGGTTTGAGGGCCAAGGACACGGATTTAATGCTGGACGATCGTATAACGCGGCAGATTCGGGACGAGCTGCAGGCGGAGTTGGATGATGTTCGAGAGGACCTAGCCTACGACCTGGAATTCGCCCAGGTGGGACACTTAAAGTTGTATAACCACTTCCTTAAGGACCTAGTCCAAGTCCCCATCACCGTCAATCCCTTGCGGTAAGTCAAAGGAGTCCTATTTATCCCTTAGTATTCATAAGTGTATTTACAGTGCCGACGTACCAGGTGTGTCCACATTTCGCCTACAGGCTCTGGGCGAAGAACACGAGCAGATTAAGAGGGACATAGAGGAGCGTCTGAAGCGGGAGCACGACATGGGGTAAGTGGGAGATTTAAGGGATCACTGATTGACACTGCCAGCTTCACACGAAATATATTACTCTTAAATCCACGACAAACAGCCTTTACAGAGAGGATCGGGTCGCAGAACAACCAGAAGTGTAAGCCTTATATTCTTTTAACCATTGGAGCACCTGCACCCTTTTACTCAAAATATTCACTAGATCTCACTGTCTTTAATAAATACTTTTAAAATATAGCTTTAGTTATATTTAAATAACCCTTTTTATTTACCCATACCTACAATCATCCCAGACTTCATGACCTTGTGGTGGCAGAGAGATCAGATGAATCCATTGGAGAGCCTCCGCCGGAAGCCTTCTTCTTCGGGCGCGATCCAAGGAGCATAGAGCCCCGGTTTAGCAAGAAGATGATGCGCCTCCTGAATCGGTACCGGAAACGTCAACTTTTCGAGGTGCGACGTATCTTTGACTGGGACAAGCTGGAGCGCCAGAAACCGGACCCCAATCGCAACCATCCGGATGACGATGCCCAGATCGAGGATGCCAAGCGAAACATGGGCGACTTTAAGCTCAAGATCGGGGCGGACTACGAACCGAAATCGGAGGAGACGCTGACCCAGAAGTACATAGAGATCGTGCAGTGTCGCGAACAGTACTTCGATATGGTGGAGTCCTTCAATCAGATGGTGTTGGAGCTGCGCGAACGAAAGGGTGAACTGGAGCAGTTCATTAACGCAAAGGCTAAACGTCTGGAAGTCATTCATAGCTACCTGCCTGAACCCGACCGCCAGCCCATGGCACCGATGCAGAAAACGGACATGGACCTGGAGTACCCAGAACTCAATCTCATCGAACTCTACACTCCCGGCTGTGGGGCGGATATCGACGACATCCTCACCCTGGAGCGAACTGTGGATCAGGTGGGTGATCTGATTATAATTACATCTTGTCTTACAATTACACATATGTGATTAGGTTGTCTTTCAACAAACGATGAGGTCAACGGCCAATATTAGCCTCTACAGCATGCACGGATTGGATGTGCCCGAACTGCACGAGAATTGCGCCTTCACCATGCTTCAGATCTCGAAGCTGGAAAAGAGTCTTCCGAATGACGAACTGACCGAGGAGTTGCTGAAGCTGCCGCCAATCAGCGATCCGGCCTACTTCGAGAGGAATGAGGACAACGAGGCGCCATACCAGGTTGAGATTCGTCATCGTTGGCTTCGCCATCTCCTTATAGAACAGGCTGCGATCCGGCTGGAAGTGGACGAGGAAGTGCAGCAATTTGATAAGGCGTTGGCCAAGTTGCAGGTGCGACGCTTCCACGTTAAACTGGACGCCGAGTTCATGAACGCATACATGAACACCCAAAATCAGGAGCTGTACATCCTGCGCGACAGCGAGGAGATAGAGACGCAGTTGCTCCTCAACGCCAAGATGGCGATGAGCACTCGAAACGAGCTGCAGGTGGTCATCAATACCACGAACAGGCAGTTGGACGAGCTGAGGCGCAACATTGACAAGTTGGGCGAGCAGATAACAGCCGTTCAAGTGCTGTTTTCAACCACAGTGAAGGGTCACAAGTTTTTCGACTTCCTGCGTCGCATCTTCAAGAAGAAGTGGCGTCCCCCCAAGGTGGCCAGGGGTGACGATGAGTCCTCCTCCTCCTCTTCGTCCTCGTCTTCATCCTCCAGCGAGGACGCACAGGCGGACAACAAGAGCCTTGACTCCTTGGACATGACCACCATCCGGCTGGACGAGGCCACCTGTCCCACCGGCTTGGATCGATCCCTTTACGAACTGGCCTTCGCCATGCGCTCCGAACGCCACGAACTGGAGCGAAATGTGCGGGATCTTCAGCGTGATGTGGAGAACAAGCGCAAGGAAATCGCCGATATGCAGATTAAGATGAAGTTTCACGAGGAAGTGTATCAACGCGAGAAAAATGCCCTCTTGCAATTTCGGGTAGGCGGTTCTGTTCAGGATTGATATCATTTATAATAAAATTAATTTTCTGTTTCCAGCGCAATCGCCAGCAGGAAGTCAACAAGGTGCACATCAGCGCTGTGCTACGAATGGACCAGCTGCAGCATTTCTATGAAGGCGACGATTACCGCGACCTGTCCAAAGCCATTCTCTTCGACGCCGACATGCTGGTGGAGCTGCGCCGTCGGGCGGATCAACTCAGCGAGGAGACGCAGGCCACCAAACGCTGGCATCGCATCAACTTCATCCACTTGAGACGCATGAACACGGACATTAAGTTCATGAGGTTTGAGATTACACGGCTGGAGGAAGAGATCCGTCAGGCTATGATGAAGAAATTCGGCATAATTGTCAATCTGGATGAATTGGAGGAGGAGGTTTTAAGACGGTACATCTTCGATCTAGAAACCAACGCCGAGGATGAGCTAATGGCACTTGAAAAAGAGCTGTTGGAGAAACAGGTTATCCCATAAATATATTATAATAATACATTATAATATAATATAATTTTTTGTCCTTTAGAAAGAACTGTCCCGCTGCGAGGAGGAACTAGTCCTGGAGACACAGAACAACACTGAAAAAGTCAACATAATGACAGTGCTTCGTGAGGAGAAGAACATCCTTTGCACTCTGTTGGATATCCAGAACCGCAACTATGAAAAGTGGAGTAATCCGAATGCACTGAATCTTTCCTATGACATTGAGAAGCTCAGGGGCATTGAGAAATCCTTGCTGGACCAAATAGAAGTGGGTAACCTCTTGGTGTCTTCCTCCTTAATTGATTCTAAACAGTTCTTTACAGTGCCTGGAGCGGGAGATCTGCGCCTTGAGGCTGAAATCCAAACCGCTGCAAATCAATTACGAATTCGAGATTGATCCAAACGCGCCGCCGCAGGTGAACAGCGAAATTATGCCCAACGAGGACCCAATGGTGTGCCCGGCCATCCTCAATGTGGATGCCTATATGCTGCCACCCATGCCCGATGAGTTCATCATGGACCGTGTGCATACGATCGTTCAAAAGAGTTTCAATCGCTTATTTGGGCGGAACACCACTCCGGAAAATGTGCGCAAGTTTGCCCAGAGATCATCGCTGTATTTATGCCAAGCAGCCTACAGTTTCCAGGTGATACGAATTTCCAAAGAAAGCTAACATACACACTTACCTTAAATTTGTTATATAGGGTCGGTACACTGATCGCATTGCCGAGTGCATTACGGAGCACCTGCAGACGATTGTGCCCAAGAAGTACTTCATCCTCATTAGCAGCGAGGAGCTTCGCAAGCTCTTCAACGAAGTGGTGGCCGTATTTGACTATGAACGCTCTGACGTGAACACCGAGGAACTGATCTCCGGAATCTTTGATCACGCCAAGGACTCACTCTGCGCCCACATCCACCTGGGCGATGCCGAAGTGGTCAACCGCACCCACTTCATCGTGTCGCACATGTTCAAGGAGCTGATCGAGGTGCTGCCCTTGGAGGAATTCCAATCCGACGAGACCCTTCGCATGATCGTGGACGTGCTGGAGCGTGAACCGATGGTGGATCCCCGAGCCATCGGCGTGGAGCTGCTCATCGAGAGCACGCTGCAGCATGCCCAGGAGAATCTCCTGGACGGGATTACGGCGGTTCCAGTGCGCAAACTGGGCAGCTCCATTCAGAGGGACCTCATAAAGCGTCGCCAGTACAAGCAGCCCAGCTGCGAATCACCAATGTCGGTGCGGATCGCCACGAAAAAACATGGACACGGCACTGGGCTTCCCTTTTAAAAGTAATATGTAGGTTTTTATTGGACTGTACAGCTTTCGGCTAATTCAAATACATTTTTAAAAAATTATCTTGCTTTGACATTTTATAAGAGAATGGGAATAAAACAAACCTCAATCAGCGAAGAAAACAGATAAACCTTTTTGTTCGGCATTTAACGATATAATAAAACTGGATCTAAAAATATATACATAATTTACTTTTCTACTAATCTGTAACTACATGCTGTTTAAAAAAATTTGAGTTATAATAATAATATAGAGTTTCCGTTTCCTCAAAGTTAGCTATGACATTAAAAAAATCCAGATCTGGTTTTTTCCCGCCCTAACGCCATCACTGATTTAGAACACCTGATAACCCTGTTTCTGAATCAGAGAAATTGCAAGTAAACAAAGTGTGAAATAAACTAAATCTAATATCATGTCGAAGCCATCAAAATCGGGTCCACCTATTGAGGGAAATGCTCCCGCATACGATTATCGTAATGCCAACGATGCCATGGCCATGGTATAAAGATAATTTCACAAGTAACTACATATAGCCATTTAAATCGACCGATTTTCAGCGAGCACCTCCGCCAACTTACGAGGAGAGCCAGCGGAGTGGCGGAAGCGGTGCCTACGCTTATCCACAAGGGGGAATTGCTCCGACCAGCCAGAATCAGTACTACGGCATGATAAGCCACCAGCAGCAGCAGATTCCCTTCAACACACAGCCCAACTACGGAACTCATCATGCCACTGGCTACGGATTAGCTGGTCCCAGTACTTCAGCAGGAGCCGCTGCCGCACAGGTCCTTCACTTGGACTCGCGCGCCGAAGTGAGAACGAATGCCACCGGAAACGTTGTTATTCCGCCTCCGCCGCCGGGCTGCCTGCCCACTCCGGCCCAGTGGGCGGCTATGCAGGGCCAGCCCGTGGTCCTCAAGCAAAAGAAACGTTCCTTTTTCTAGATTACACCAGAGACACACCATTTACTCGAATATAATCATGTTGGTCCCTTAAATGTTATTAAATAATAAACGATGCGATGTTTCGTTTCGTCCTCGCGTATATTTGAAAATTCCCTAAGCAAACGATCATGACGCCGGTGAAAAGGTTGGGTTGCAATCCACCGGCTCGACTATGATACTTCTACAGACTACTTGGTTGCGGACTACTCGAAGATGTTCTCAAAGTATGTACTATCGAATGTCTGGACACGCACGAAACCGTCTTCTCCGCCCGAGGCGTAACTCTTGCCGTCCGGATGGAAGGCCAAACTGTTGATGGGTCCGAAATGGCCCTTGAGCCGGGCGAACTCCTCCTCGTAGATCAGATGGAAGAAACGAGAGTCGAACTTGCCGGCCTTCGTGGATGTGGTGGTCACCTCCATGGCATCCTGTCCGCCGCCCAGCACCACGTGATCCAGAATTGGGCTGATGGCCGCTGAGTTTACTGGTCGTTCCGTCTTGTAGGTCTTCAGGCACATCAGAGACTCGGAGTCAAAAAGCTTGGCGGTGGTGTCCTTGGAGGCGGTGACGAACATGGTGCCATCCTTGCTCAGCTGCATGTCGTTGATGCCGCCGGTGTGATCCGATCCGGAGTCGACCACCTTCTGGCCCTTGCGGATGTCCCAGATGGCAATGTTGCCGTTGTCGTGGCCTGGGAGTAATGATTATTATTAAATTATAAAAATAATTGGCAAGACAATGCCTACCTGTGATGATAGTCTCATCCAGAGGACCCCACAGCATCGAGGTGATCTTGGACTCGGTCATTGGGATGCGCAAGGTGGGTTCCTGCTCCGACAGCGAGGAGTCGGCGTTGCGCACATCGATGAGGAACAGCTCGCAGCTCTGTCCCATCGCCTTGTCCGTGGAGTAGGCCGCCTGGTTGCCCGAAAAGCTGAAGTGGCTGGTGCGCACCGACGACTTGGTCGGAATGGAGGCGATGATCGTACCGTACTCGACGTCCCACAGCTTGGTGGTCATATCACCAGCGCCGGTGATGAGCTTGCGGCTCTCCCAGTCCACATCCAGGCACCAAACAGCGCCCTGGTGACCATCGTAGGTGCCCAGGCGCTCACCGTTCAGCGAGTACCAAACATTGGGCTTCTGATCCTTGGAGCAGGAGAAGAGCAGGTCGCCCTCGCGGTTGTATTTGATTTGCGTTATGGAACGCTCGTGGCCTTGCAGCATCAACGGACGCTGTAAAAAAAAACATTTATCAGATTATTAGCAATAATATAGTCCGCTTTTAAGGTTATGTTTGGCCCGGAATTCATCACGACTTTCACACTCCATAAATCGTTGTAATTCCAATTTAACTCTTGAGCCCCCGCCGATCGAGGAGGGCCTATTTAATTCTTTGCTAGTCACGCACCATTTTGAATTTTAATATTATTTGTTGCGAGAAAACTAATATTTTTGCAACAACATCCACGCAGCAGTACACGCCAAAAGAGCAGTGTGACCGCAGAAGCGTTTAAACATTTCTATAAAATATACCAACGGTATTTTAAAAATATGCCATAAACATACCGTTAATCAATTGAGGTCTTCCCCAAATGGCGAAATTGTTGAAAATTCAAAGAAAAATGCAGCTATGTTTAATTAATGTAATTACATTTTTCGCTGTTGATTACTGTTTTTAAGTACTTGTACCAGTGTGTATCTGCTTATATAAAAGTTTTCACATCTTTCGCACAGCTCCTAGGAGAATAAGAGGATGTCTATGCGAAACGTTCTCCAAACTTCACTAATACTGTGTTTCAAGAGATAAAAAAAACATTCAATTTCGAAGACCTGTTCCGGCTTTCACATAAGAATATATTAAAAAATTTAAACAAGCCCGCCACGGATTGCAAATGCAAGCAGTTCCTTTTCGGGCGTTGCCACCTTGGACAAATCATATGTTTTGGTTTGCTCGCAATTTGCAGCACTGACTCCCAGGTGTTGACCAACTCTGATCCACCAACGCCTTCCAACACTTTCCCCCTTGCTGTAAATAAATCGAAATATTTTCAACCATTTTCTGGTGAAAATAATTGGAAATTGAGCGAATATCCCGCAGTCAAAACCGGATCCGCTGGTGGCCCGGGCCCAGCGGCAAAGTCGTGTGCAATGGCAGGAGCCAGCGGACGCTGGCTGAAGCGAATCTAAACAGCCAAAACGGCCACCAAATAATAGATGCCAAAAATTTGCATAAAAAGTGAGGCGATTAAAATGCAGAAAATGTACGCGTCGTTGTTGCTGGCAACCTTGACATTCTGGACGTTAGTGCTGCGATCGGAGCAGGCACACTCTCCGCCAACGGTGCCGTGCGATCGCAGCCGGAAGGTGTTCACGGAGCCCTATGGCGACATTTCCGACGGCCCCTCCGGCTTTAACTACACCCAGGACTCACACTGCGAATGGCTCATCAAGGCCCGCAACGACAGCCAGTTTATCACCCTGACCTTCCACAGCATGGGCACCGAGTGCTCCTACGACTACATCTACGTCTACGACGGCGACTCCTTCAACTCGACCCTGCTGGGCAGCTTCAGTGGCCGGACACAGCCGCAGCGCCTGGTGGCCCGCAGCGGAAGTGTAAGTAGAGCTCATGGTTTAGAGCCCGTTCAAACCTTGTCAAGAAAAATGTTCAAGTTTACTATAAGATAAATATGTATTGTTAATTCGAGTTAGAGTCCAGTCTTAAAAAGTTGTCCTCAGTATGTTTCACAGGATTCAAAGTTTTAGTTTGATTTTTGAGTTTGTTTATTTAAATTTACAGTATTTAATATGATTTATGCATAAGATTTTATTGAGGATCTTATTTAATATATATTATTGATTCGAATTAAAGACCGGCGTGAATATACAGTCCTCGAGTGTTTTTTAGTATGATTCCTATAATTTATTAACTTTAAAAGCTAGGTCTTAAAACTTACGAAGGAGGGCTATTATCCTTATTAATTTTTACTCACAATATATCAAGTTATCAGATATGTCCCAGAAATCTTGAGATATTTCGGAGAACTGCTTTAAATATTCTAACATTCTATGTTTGTACATGCTATAGATGTTAATGTAATAAATCAATAAAGAAAAGATAGATAGAATAGCTGCCAAACGAAAAGAAAACATAAGCTCTACTCACGTATCGCATTACTGCCAATACTTCTGCGTGCTCCCTTTTTATAGCTTATCTTTTTTCACCACAGATGCTCATCCTCATGTACAGCGACACAAACTACGTGCTGGATGGATTTCGCGCCTCATACTACATATCAAATTGTCTGAATAACTGCCACAATCATGGAAAGTGCGTGGGCCACCAGTGCGTATGCCACGGCGAGCGTGTGGGCCCCGACTGCGAGGACGAGGCTTGTCCGCAGCGCTGTGGCGAGAGCCAAGGAAGAGGTAGCTGCCAGAAGAGCATCTGCCACTGCTCGCGAGGATTCAGCGGTCGCCTCTGCGATCTGAGCGACCATCCACCGGGCAGCAGCTGGCGCTGGCTAGCCACCGACGCCGAGGGCATGACTCCCAGAGCCGCCCACACTGCCGTCTACATGGAGGACGAAGACGCTCTCTACGTGTTCGGCGGCTACGACCTGAATAACGTAATAAGCACACTCCAGGTAAAGTTTTCAATTTTATAATGATTAAAATAAAAACAACTTTCTTCTTGAAAGTGAAGTTTTCAATTTTATAATGATTAAAATAAAAACAACTTTCTTCTTTTTGAACTTAATTTTATTAACATGTGACAGAAAATAAAAATAATGAACTAATTATCGTTTTGTCCATCTTTATACATACTTATACCTTGACAACTCATGTTTAATTTTCGCAAACAGAGTAGACACCATTTTTTAAAAGTCTATCGTAAAGCAGTTTATTGCAATTGTCCCTCTCTGTATATACAAACACTTACCCAACATGTCTAATAGTTATTTAGGCAATGCTGTAAACTTTTAATTACATACTAATTTTGTGTTTTTTTTTAGATTTATCGTTTCAGCACTAGCCAATGGGAGGATGAGTGGGGTATTGCGTTACAGAGTCGCCGTCACTTTTACCATCCGCAAAAGATTGATCATACGTTGCTTAAGGCCGTGCTCCAGCACAAGAACGAGGACGAAGCCAAGCTATGGGGTCTCAACAGCGATGTGAGCTTTTTCCGGAACATTCTTTACACCTTGGCGGAATCAAATCTCCACCAGCGTCGGACGCGGTCTTCTCTCCCCTTGACAATCGTAAACGCCAACTCGACAGACGAAGAGCTAAATGAGTATCTGGAGGACATTCTGGAGGAGGTTACGGATCACAAACCCCATGGACGCTATGGCCATGCAGCGGATCGAGTGCCCGGCGGATTCGTTATCTACGGTGGCAAACATGCCAATGGCAGTTTCTACAATGATCTCTGGCAATACAACAACACGGAAAGCGGTGGCAAGTGGAAGCAGATGGCCATTAGGTCGGAATTGAAGCCACCGGCTTTGGCTAGACATACTCTTAATACCGCTGGATCCTATCTCTATATATTCGGTGGTAGTCTTGAGACGGGAGAGTTCTCATCCAGCGTGTACCGCATAGCACTTCCCCTCACGGAGGACTCGCAATGGAAGCTGGTACAACCAAGGGGAGGAAAGACGTTAGACGTTCGTCTCGCAGCGCATTCAACGGTCTATTACAAAGCGACCAATTCACTAATCGTGTTTGGAGGAATTATGACAAGTTTGGCCCGCTTCTCTAAGCTCTCGGATCGGATATACGCTTTTCAGCTGGACCAGATGCACTGGACGGAAATTTTATACCCCCGAACGGCGCTGAGGGACACCAATATACCCAGGGAGCGAGCATTTCACACGGCCACCATATCGGGCAACTACATGGTAGTCTTCGGGGGCTATACACACCGACACAACAAGGATGAGATTTGCTACGACAACCAGATGTACTGGTACCATCTTAGTTGTCACATTTGGATTAATCAGGTGGTTTCCGCCGAGGACAGTCTGTACCCGAAACCGCAGGGTGTTTTTGCCCAAGCAGCGGCTCTGCGTCGGAATCACACGCTTCTGATTGTTGGTGGCTACCATGGAAACGTGAATGCAGATCTTTTTGCCTACGAACTGCCCCAGGTCCTGAGGGTGGAAAATACCCTCTACAATCCGGAGATCTCCTGTAGATTGCACGCCTCGCACACAGCTTGTCTCTCGAATCCGGAATGTGGTTGGTGCTCGGCAGATAGTAGCTGCTACGGTCGCACTATCGGAGCGAATTGTACCACCAATCTGCAGACCACAAGGTGTCCAGGGATATGTCCCTCACTCGGCGATTGTCATTCTTGCTTGGTGCATGGATCGCAATGGGGAAAGTCGTCGGGAAACAAAGCAGCTTTTTCGGTGGCAAGCAAGTTGGGATTGAACGAGTGCACTTGGTGTGTGCAGAATGCAAAATGTCACCACCGGGACGACAACTACGGCATATGTGGAGATAGTTCAGGATGGTGGGGTGACAAAGGCACCGAGATTCGTCGACCTTCGCTCTGCACCAGTACCGACCGACGCCCGGGACTCACTTACATCAAGTACCACTACCCGATTAACTACACCATGCCGGATTACGTGGGAATTGTGAATGCCACTATGGTAGACTTCGCCTCGCCACCGTTTACCACCTATTTTGAGCACAAACTCGAGGGAGAGATGTTAGCCAGGTTAGTTGGTTTCGTACGGCCGCAACATCAGTGGAACAACTCGGCCATACAGGTCTGCACCAGCTACTCCTCGGCGGTATTACGGGCTGGCCTAGGTCTTTACCTCGATGAGCTGGTCAACATCACCACGCAGAGCTCAAACCAGAGCTACTGCAGCAACGTACAGCTGCCCACCACAGAGCAGCCATTCACGATTGATTTCCAGGTGCGTACGAAAAACCGTCTTGTAAAATCTGTAACTTTTGCTACTTTAATAATGATCCAGTATTTCTGCCACGCCTGATTCCAGGTTGGCATTAGAGTATCAAGAGTGGATTGTTAAAAAAATCGCTGTTCTTTGTCAACTTATTTATTTTCCCCAAATCTTCTCTAGGCTCGCCGACGTATCGGAGGTAACGGAAATTACAACGCCTATCAGAAGACCAAAATGGAACTGCACCACCTGCATAACGGCCAGCTTAACGCCTTTACCTTTGAATACTTGGAGCCGTACTACTCCGGCAAGTGCACCCAATACTCAAACTGCCTCCACTGTCTTACGGATGCATCCTGTGCTTGGTGTCCCCTCACCAGCGTATGCCACCTGCGATCGGTGAACGAAACTGAAGTGTGCAAGAAGGAGGCTCCGGAAGCTTTCCATTGGTCCTACCTGATCAGCCAGCCCAGTCAATGTTCGAACTGCACAAATTACGTTAGCTGCGAGGCGTGCGCCAACAGTGGGGAGTGCGAATGGTGGACGGAGGACGCCCGCTGCGGCAGGATTGGCAAGTCCAACAGCAGCGTGCGGGCGGTGGAGCAATGTCCCAGGTCGTGCAGGGAACGGCATGGCTGCCAGGAGTGTCTCGGCGAGCGAGGGCGATGCGTTTGGTGTGAGGCCAGTTCCCAGTGCTTCAGCTTTTCCGTGTACACAAGTGAGTATCAGTTTGGAATGTGCCGCGAATGGATGGACCAGGTAGTCAGTCGCCAGCCGCAAGAACTGGCTGACCAGAAGCTTCAGCAGCAGCCGCATCATGTGCAGCAGCAGTGCAAGTCCTGCGAGCAGCATCGAAACTGTTCCTCCTGTCTGCGAACTCTGAGCTGCGGCTGGTGCTTCGATCGCGACAATCCCATTGAAGGTATCTGCATGCAGGGTGATTTCAGCTACAGTGCTGGAAATTGCTCACTGGCTTTGAATAGTTCTTCCCACCATGATGCGGAGTGGGCGTACGCACAGTGCCCGGATGTCGACGAGTGTGGACTGGGTCTGCACGATTGCCACAAGGAGGCCAAGTGCACAAACACCCAGGGCAGCTATAACTGCCACTGCCGAAGAGGTTATGTAGGTGACGGCAAGTTCAGCTGCGTCAGGACCTGTTATGAATTGTGCCAAAATGGAAATTGCTCGGGACCTCCGGATTACACCTGTCGCTGTGCTTTGGGCTGGACTGGAGCCGATTGTGGACTGAGTTGTGGCTGCAACAATCATTCGACTTGCCATGAGAGATTGGGGAAATGCGATTTATGCCAGGATTGGTCGGAGGGTGAGAAATGCGAACGATGTCGACAGGGGAGCTACGGAAATGCCACCGCTCCACATGGATGTCTTCCGTGTGAGTGCAACGGCCATGGCCACCAAGATCTGGGCGTCTGTAATGTAAGCAACGGTGAATGCTACTGTAAGGACAACACCCAAGGACTCAATTGTGATTTGTGTGCTCCCGGCTACTATGGTGATCCCAGAACCGGCGGAAAATGCTACTACCAATGCGAATCTAGGGGCATTCTCACCAATATCGGTAAAAGTGCAATTGGCTCGTACCAGTCTTATCGGTCGCCCTGGGGTGCCAGTCTGGAGGTGAAGGAGTGCTTGTGGATACTGCAACCGAAGACCCTGCAGGCGGAGAAGTCGCTTCTCCAGTTGGAGTTCCAGTGGCAGAGTCTGGCAATGGATTGTGACGAGAATGCAGTCTATATATACGACAGCCTGCCGGACCTGACAGGTGCCACCCAGCAAAATCAACTCCTGGCAGTGGTATGTGCTCCATACAGTTCAGCCAGGATTATCGAAGCCCGCTCCAGCCACGTGACAGTTCACTATAAACAAGGTAGTGAAAGGCGACACTTTGGATTCAATGCCCTCTATTCCGTTATGAATTGCGTGGCCGGAAGTTGTCTCCCGCCTCACATCTGTGATGCCCAGCAGCGCTGTGTTTGTCCGGCCGGATATGTGGGTGCCAACTGCGAGATTGAGATCTGTCCGAGCAACTGCAACGCCAAGCGGATGCAAGGCTTTTGCGACACAGAGTACGGCAGATGTATCTGCAGTAATGCCAATTATGCGGGGGCCGATTGTGGCACTTTAGTGCAGCGAAACCACCTGGTAATGACGGAGCTTTTCAATACTCAGCTCCTTAGTGAAAGTCTGGAGCACCTTAGAAAGACCATACCACGATTTGGACACTCTGTGAATGCGGATCGTAGGGGATCGCTTTGGATGTTTGGTGGTTACTCACCCAATCACGGACCTCTTAATGATTTTCGGCAATTCGACACAAAGAATAGCACCTGGCTGCAGGTAACAGTGGAATCGTCCACCCCAGAGGATCGCATGCCCCTTGGCCGGTATTTCCACGCCTCTGAGATTTACGTGAAAAAGCAAATCATCTACATCTATGGAGGAATTGGTGCAAACTCGCAACTGCTTAACGATTTTTGGATGTTTTCGATACAGAACCAGCGCTGGAGTCAAATTAAGGTAGAAGTGGAACCGAGTGGCGCGGATTATCAGGTGATTATAATCTAAATATTATTAATTTAATGAATACTATCTAAATTTATTTTTAATTACAGTTGGATGTTCCGCCGCCTTTAGCTGGTCATACTCTCACCCATCTGCGTTACCAGGACCACGAGTCGCTAATTCTTCTTGGCGGATTGACTCTTAACAAATCCCGACCTCTCGAATTGTGGGAGTTCAACCTGGACACGAGTCGCTGGCAGCAGTTGGCAGCTGTGGGAGCCAGAATGCCAGTACTTTATGGCCACACGGCTGTCTACCATCCGGAGACGAACAGTGTTTACTTGTTTGGAGGTTATTCCACGGAGCCGCAGAGCAATCTATATGCGCTGGACCTGCAGAAGCTGAGCTGGACGGAACTCCCTAGTTTCAGGGAACTGAATTCACCCGCCTCTCTGCTGCCCAGGGCTCGCTATTTCCACTCGGCCGTGAGCACAGAGCACTACATGATCCTTTACGGCGGACGAACGCAGCCCTTTAATGGAACAGATGTTCTTATTGCCTATGTGTACGCCTGTAATCAATGGGTGCGACTGACAGAGGATGTGGAGCTTATAGGTCGTGTTCCGGCCTCGAGTTATGCGGAGGATATGGCCATCGATCCAGATACGGGTGTGATCTTTGTCATCGGCGGATGGGATGGCAGCTCCACGCACAGTCATGTGACCAGGATAGCTTTGCCGGACGACATTTGCCAGCTGTGGAGTAGCGGGAAGCATCAGTGTCGCCACTACATGGGCTGTAGCTACTGTACGATCCAGAACACTTATAGCTACAGCAGTCACTGCTTCAGCCATGGACGCACTCCGTGTGCCAATCATAATGGCACCAAGGTGGTTAACAATGGAGCTGCCTGCGATGATGATTGGATGGCCAGCAGAAACTGCTCTAGTTTCGCCACCTGCGGCGCCTGTCTAGCAGCCTGGCCAACGCATCAGGAAACGGCTCCCGTGTGTCAGTGGTGCGATGAGTGCGGCATTAGGGGAAGGTGCGTTCCTGCCGGGGTTGATTGCGGTTGGAGGAGTGCTTGGTGCAACAAAGAACTGAGTGTGGGAGTTCTGGGTCTGTGTCCATTGCCTCAATGTTACCAACTGAGCTGTGAGAGCTGCATGCTTCAGCCGCAATGCAACTGGGCCAGGAATGAACTGGGCACAGTGGAGTGCATCGCCAAGGAGCTGGTGGAAAAAATCAATACAGATTGGTCGAGAGCTGTCCGCCGCCCTGCCACACCCACGAGAACTGCAGCTTGTGTCTAAGTCAAACGCCCACCCAGGATCGCCAGGAGTGCAAGTGGTCCACAATGTTGAACCTGTGCCTGACGCCCAGCTCCCAGCCGCTGTTTTGCGCCGGTGGTGTTTGTGGATTAGTACTAGAAGCCAACGAGCTGGATCGCTGCCCGGAACCATGTCACGTGTACACGCAATGCTCCAGCTGTTTAGAGCACGCCCATTGTGGGTGGTGTGCCCGCGAGGGACACAACGGCGATGGCATCTGCACGGAGGGAGCATTGGAGCACAAGCAGGAACATCCGTCGGGATCGACTTGTGATCTAATCTATGCCAGTTGGCGAAACGATTCCCACTTAACCCATGCGGATGTGGTGTCCTGGCACTATGTGCAGTGTCCGGCTGAGAATGAGTGCGTCAATGGTCATCACAACTGCGACGCTGTATCGGAGCAGTGCATCGATCTGGACACAGCAGTGGGCTATAAGTGCGTCTGCGCCCAGGGATATCGCGAAGAGCAGGGTGCCTGCTTGCCCGTTTGCAGCCAAGGATGCGTTCGCGGCAATTGCGTGAGTCCGGATCAGTGTCAGTGTGACTTTGGCTACGTCGGCGCCAATTGTAGCATCCAGTGTTTATGCAATGGCCACTCCAACTGTGAGTCGAGCAGCAGGCTGGACATTTGCCTAAAGTGTCACAACAACACGATGGGCGAGCAGTGCGAGAAGTGTCAGCCGCTTTTCGTGGGAAATCCCCGCGAAGGTCATGCTTGCCAGCCTTGCCTGGATTATTGCCACGGGCACAGTGACATTTGTGTGTCCTACGATGCAGATCCTGCAGTGTTTAATATGACCCGTTCCGAATTGGAAAGGATTTTACCCGAAGGTCCCGCGTACAATGCTACTTGCCTAAGTTGCGGCAATCACACGGATGGAGACCGCTGCGATAGTTGTTTAACTGGCTATTTCCGCGGCAGCGAGGATCTGCACAAGGAGTGCCGGCCCTGCCAGTGCCATGGACATGGAAACATTTGCGATGCCGTCACCGGCGAGAAATGCAACTGCGCCAACAACACGGAAAGCGATGCCACGTGCACCGCGGGCGGCGGCAAGAACTCGGCGCAGCTCTGCTGGATGGTGCAGTGCTCCAAGTGCCGTGACTCCTACGCTGGCAACCCCACAGATGGCCACCAGTGCTACAAGCAAATAACCGTCGAGTCGCGAATGTGCTTTGATGCCAAGCCGATTGGTAAGTGAAATTTTCATTTTATTTATCATAGTTATCTCAACCTAATCAAACGATACGAATGTTCTTCTTTATTTTCCTTAATTGTTTTGTTGTAATTTCTTTCATTTTTGTACCACAGAGGAATGCAAATCAAAGCCAGCTGCACTGAAGCCCGGCCAGACTGTGTTTTTTGTAATCCAGCCTCGCTTCATGAATGTGGATATTCGCATTATTATCGACGTAACACAAGGAGAGTTGGATGTTTTTATGTCGCCGCAGGACGACTCCTTTATAGTTGAAACGAATGAGACGACCGGCTATCACGATATCTTCCTTGATAATCGATACAATTGGGGACCGAAGATAAAGCGCGAGCATCCGCTAAATGTCGCTCTGCCCAGACACGATAATGCCACGATCCAGAAATTATTTTCCCCTGAGCGTCGCATTGGAGGCGGGGGCCTAGGAGGAGGTGGAGGAGAGAGAATAGGAGCCAATACCTATTATGTGCCCCAGTTGCAGGACTGCAAGAGCCATGGCGGTCACAACTTCATAGTGAAGGATCAGCACGCCAAAGATTTGAGTACACATGTAACGCTCAATCATTGCAATACTTTGTTGCGCCTATTTGGGCTAAAGAATCGTCTGGTGCTCACTCTGCCCCAGCATGCTCATAACCTGAGTGCCACCCGCTTCTTCATTGCTTTGCGGGCGAGCTCCGGACCTGAGCCCAGTTACGGATCCGTGGTGTTCCGCCAGGATCAGCTGCATATTGATCTATTTGTGTTCTTCTCAGTGTTCTTCTCCTGCTTTTTCCTCTTCCTCGCCGTCTGCGTGATTGTGTGGAAGGTAAAGCAGGCGGCGGACCTGAGAAGGGCTAGAAGACAGCATGTGGTGGAGATGTTGCACCTGGCCAAGCGCCCTTTCGCCCAGATCTTTCTGGCCTCGGGCAGCCTGGATGTGGACAGTCCACAGCCGACCTCCTCCTCCTCCTCGGCCCGTGCCATGCGACAGCGTGCCCGGCAAGCGCTTCTTCTGCAAGAGCAATCCGCTGGTGAGTCTCATCCAGTGATGCATCACTCCAGTCGCCGCCAGAGCTCGCGCATCATGATGGTGGCCATCGAGCCTACTTTTGACAATTTGGCGGCTGTGGGAACGGTGTTCATTAGCCTGCCAGGTCGCTCGCGAGCTCCGTTGAGTATTGCTTTGGGATCCACCCTCATTTCCTATTCGCGGCAATATCCCCTGAATGCCCGTCACTTTATGCGCGCTCAACGGGTTCAGAATGTGGCGCATCACCCGGCTTAAACTGAAATCTCTATCAGCACGAACAAAATAGTTGTTAGTCAATGTCTAAAAGCCGAACTTAGTGAAATATCTGTGCATGTATGTAAGAAGTACGTAAAGACATTCGTTTAGATATCGGTGTATATGAATAGTGTAGGTAATTTTTGTACATAACGTTTAGATAACGCAAATAACGAATACTATGTGTACATAAATATGCAACAAAAGTGTGTTAAAAGATATCTTGTGCACGCACAAATCGTCTATATATAAAGTTTATACTTATCAAAAGATAAACATACAGGAAATGGATAAATATAAGATTTAAAGCATATTATAAAGGAATATTGGGTCTCGAATCTGTAACAGGATATAGAAAAGCATTCACATAATTTAAACACAGAACAAATTTTCGGACTGATTTATATGAAATTTCATTTGGCTAGAATGTAAAGATAATTTAATTAATATAGCTAAAAAGCATACCCATCAAAGAAGATAACCAAGTGAAAAGTAAAAAAAACTTAAAAGTACGCATACAGCAGAGGGAATTTGATATACATTTAAGAATGTCAATTTTGTCGAGAAACAGAATGTCGCACAACATTTAGAAGCCATATGAAAAACAAACAAAGAAATCCAGATATACGTATTATTATAGTATACTGAATGTGTCATAGCAATTAGGCGTTTGTTATGCCAAACTTAAGTGGATGTCATTTCTCAGTCGCTCAATAGGTTTCTTTTAAGATACGTACGATATGATTTTAATTCTGGCGTACCTAGTGTATTTGTATTGTATAAAGTATTATGATATTCCTTCCCTGTTGGTGGCTAGCATTTGCTCAATTAGTTCGTTAGCTCTTTACTGCGCACTATTACGCACCTGTGTACCTACTATTTTAAGAACAAAACTATTTTTATGTACAATCCAGTTTTTCACACACTTGTTATGTTTACACTAAAGCTCTCAGACACAAATGCAGTTGGAAAAATGGATTTCCAATTTTGAAATACTTGAAATATTTTACAGCTACACAACATCACAAACGAACAAAATCCTACAGAATCTTTCCTAACACTCTACACTAATCTCAGTAACCAAAAGGTTGTAAGAAACTCTCACTATATCGATTTAGTTTAAAATTCCCTCCTTACATGTGGTACTATTTTTGTATATTTTGAGTTTACAAAACTAGCTAAATTTTTAGAACTGATGTATATTTAGAAATTACTCGAATCGTCCCATTTTGCAATATATTTATAATTCGTATTTTTTATTATTTGTACTTGTTTTTGCAATAAAGATGAACCTATGGTATATAAACAATTGACTGTCTTTCATTTTTAATAAAATATATTAATAAAAACAATCTTCTGGTATTTAAATTCATTGTGCAAACGAATAATTTTTATTGATTAAATATTTTTTTGTGATAAATATATATTTATGCCGTATGTTTATATATAAGCATGCCATTGCTTCGTATTCTACGATTTAGTTGGTTAGAAACAACGATTGCATTTTAACTAGAGCTTGTGGTTGAAGGCAGGGCTGCAAGGATTTCTTCGATAAAGGTGTCCGGCTGCTCGATGAGATGTAGAAGACCTAAAATAACAAATATATAATTAAACGAGGACGGAAGCTAACTTCGGCAAGCCGAAGTTTTAATACCCTTGCAGACTTTGCCGAAATTGCTAGAACTGAAAAAGTAGCCAAAGGAATAAGGTATACATAAATAAACTAGATTTTCATCGTTTAATGTCAATTGCTTTTATACTGCAAAAATGTCATATAAAAATAGAAAAAAAGGGATACTTTCGCAGCCTTTAACTATTTTTCCTACGGAAGCTATAAGAAATAGACGTCCGATCGGCAAGCGCTTTTACCCTAATCAAGATATGCGTAAATAAATAAGACTTGGAAAAATTTATGTCAGTAGCTTACACACTACGCGAAAAATTCAGAAAATCATCAAATTTGGACCGATTTCACCCTGTTGTTCCTATGGGAGCTGTAGGATATAGACGTCCGATCGTCACGTGCTTTTATCATAATCAAGGTATGCATAAAAAAATACGATTTGGAAAGATTCATGTCAATTGCTTATATACTGTGCGAAATATCCTAAAAATCATTAAATTTTAACCGATTTCACCCTATTGTTCCTATGGGAGCTATAGGATATAGACGTCCGATCGCCAAGCGCTTTTACCCTGATCAAGGTATGCATAAAAAAATAAGATTTGGAAAGATTTATGTTAATAGCTTTTACACTGCACAAAATATCTTCCATTCTTGAAAGTTATATCCGATTGTTCCTATGGGAGCTATAGGATATAGACGTCCGATCAGCACGCGCTTTCACCTTGATGAAGGAATGTATAAAAAAATACGATTTGAAAAAATGTATAGCAATAGCTTTTACACAGCGCGAAATATTCTGAAAAACATAAAATTTGGACCGATTTTACCCTATTTTTCCTATGGGAGCTATAGGATATAGACGTCCGATTGCCACGCGCTTTTACCCTGATCAAGGTATGCATAAAAAAATACGATTTGGAAAAATTCATGTCAATAGCTTTTACACTGCGCGAAATATCATCAATTTTTGCTAGATATATCCGATTGTTCCTATGGGAGCTATAGGATATAGACGTCCGATCGGGGCGATTTTCAAACTTGATCTGCGTACACATGTTTTAGGACGCGTGTGAAAGTTTCAGATCGCTAGCTTTTAAACTGAGCTCACAAACGGTATTGAAACAGACGGACAGACGGACAGACGGACAGACGGACAGACGGACATGGCTATATCGACTCCCCTATTGATCCTGATCAAGAATATATATACTTTATGGGGTCGGAAACGTCTCCTTCACTGCGTTACAAACTTCTGACCAAAATTATAATACCCTCTGCAAGGGTATAAAAAAGATATTAAAAGGAAAAATCTGTGTGACACCCACCTGCAACATCGCAGAACTCTCCGAAGGAAGTGCAGGGCAGGAACTCATCCGTCAGGGTCTGCAGGATGCTATCCGTGGACTTCAGCAAAGCCTCATCATTCTTACGAAGGTAGTCGAACAGTGAAATCGGCCAATCCTCTTCCTTAGGCGTCGTCACCGACTTAAACAGGTTGTTGTATATCAAATCCACCAACGCCCACATCATCAGGAAGGGTTTATACACACTGTACTCCTTGGCCTGCCGATCCGCCGGAGCCAACAAAGCCTTGCATAGCACCGACGGCGATATGTGGCGGGCTTGGGCCACAGCTATCATCCTCTTCAGATGCGCCAGCTTGTGTTTGTTCCACAGCTCTCGACTGTGTAGGGAGAGCGAAATGGTGGCCATATATAGCGGACCATCCACTTCGTAGCCGCACTCTAGCCACTTCTCGCTGGGCGCTGCCTGTAAATAAGTAAGCAGCGTCTTGCTGTCCCTGGCCGCAGATCGCGAGGAGAGCAGCAGGTAGACAGAGTAGAAGAGCAGGTAGGGTACAAAGTGCATGTTCGACTGCGGACCTCCTCCGCCGGCATCGTCATGGAAGCTGCGTTCCCAGGCAAATCTCACCAACAGCAGCTTCAAGTCATGCACGCTGCTTGGGTAGGAGATGTCGCAACGCTGGGTGCTCTCCTGCATGTAGCTGCTGTGGCGGGTCATGCAAGCGGAGAAGGCCGCCTCTCCAACGGCGGGTCCCCAAAGGGGCAGCAAGCCATTACACCTGGTGTTGGCATTCTGCAAACTAGCCCGCTCCCATTCATCCCGACCTCGAGTCAATCGTATGGCCGATGTGTGACAGTCTACGTGAACAACATTAAAATGGGTGACTGTGGTGTAGCCAATTGTCTTCCTCGACTTCAGCTCAAACTCTTCCACATTGCAGCGCTTGGTGAACGTGTAGATGCCCAGCACCTTGTCTGGCTGGCAGGCGTAGCCCTCGCGGCAAATGAAGCACGTCAGGCCAGTTTCGTCGCGGAGTTTTTCGATTTTTTGTAGAATAGAGCCCTTTGCAGTCACTTGGCCCTTCTCATTCGTTCGCATTCCTAAGGCATCCAGTTGTTTTTCTCGCGTGGCCATAGCCAGTCGCTTCTTCTCTGCTCTGGTGAAATCCCGCACTTGTTGAACCCTTGCTGCTGTCGCAGAATCCGTTGAGAGCGCTTCCAGGAGGTTTTCGGCTAGACTGCCCACGTGCTCATCACTTGATACTTGCTCCAGGCGATGAATGATGGGTATAATGTCCTTGCTGATGGCCACCTGGGTGGCTTCATGATGATTTGAGAGGCCGGTGAGGAAGCGAAGTATGTACTTTAAGCTCGGTCGCGAGATAAACTCTTTAAGTTCATCGGAATCGGTTCGCAGGAGAGTGGGTTTGACACAAGGAGCATGCTCGGTGATGTAAGCTAGCGATCGCTCTACAATGCCCAGACTGACAATGTAGTCCTTAAGAGTGCCGCCAATGCAGTTGTGTTCGATTTGATTAGTAAGCACGCAGAAGAGTTCAAGCTTAAACTCTTCTTCAGGTGTTCGCTCGTTGTCAAACCGCTTAAAGCTCAGAGTGTCCTGAAAGAAAAATTGTTAATTAATCCTTAATTACATCGTATATTGTTATATATACACTTACCTTGAAATGCTCGCAAAGTAAAGCCATCTTCACCTCATTGCCATAGACCAAAGCGGCCAAGACACGAATGAGATGGCGCAGCACCGAGGGGTTGTTCCTGACGTTCGGACAGTCAGTGCAGGATATTAGTGCGCTCACATACTCCGGCCCACCGAAAGTTAGCGAGAACTGCAGGAAGGAATCCAACGTATCGCTGGCTGCTTTCGAGAGGATCGTCTCCATGATCTCTAATAATTGCTCGGTGACCGCCGATTGGATCGAATCGTTCTCCGACTGAAGACACATTTGCAGCACCTTAAGCAACGTGTTGATGGCTCCAATTTCGGGCTGGCAGAGAACCTCTTGGCAGCGTCGTACTTTCACGCAGATGAGGAACAGCTTAAGCAGCACCTGGATAAGCTCTCGGTTTCGCGAGATTCGCTGCAGGCTGCCAATCCGGTCCAACATAACGCGCAGTCCGTTGCAATCAGCCAGCACATTAGCCATGCGATAGAGCTGCTCGGTGTCCACCTGCTCCTGGCTTTTGTTGTTGAGCGTTTCCACAAACTCCTCGGTGGCGTCTCCCAGGAGACCACGCATACGATAAACGATCCTCATAGCATCTCGATCTCCTCCTTCAGCTAACCAAACCTTTTTGTACACATCCTTAACGGGCAGATCCAGACTAATGATCTTGTTGTTAACTAGCAGTTCCATGCCGTTATCATCTTCCAGCAGGGCAATAAGTTCACAATCCGTGCAGATCTTATTTTTGACATCCCTCATCAGTGGACCCAATCCCATTTCACTGGAGGGATATGGATTGCCCAGCATTCGGCCCTGCAAGAAGTCCTCCTGCTGAGGATCCTTCTCCAACGTCATGTAGAACTCGCTTTCGTCGTGCTCCTCAGGGTGTATAATTGAGTACAGCCGCTCAAAGATAAACACCGGCGTTTTGATGTCATTCATGCGCGTCTTCTCCACGGTGTCGATGAGGATTTCCATAAAGGCACGTGTCTCCTCTTCTGTTCCGCTGGTCATGTCTTCTAGCATTTCAAGCAGTTTCTCCTGTGCGTCGTCAATAAGACGCGTTCGCTGCACCACCAAGCTTCTTAGGGCCAGATAACTCTCCAGGACTGGACCTAGCATGCGGGTCTTGTAGGTCCTGCGAATGTTTGGACACTCAAGGAGTAACCACAACAGCTCCACATATTGCCGCAGAGCATAGCCCAAGGATAAATCTGATGAAAGCGAATGCTCCTCCATGCGATGCACTTTGCTTATTTCGATAGCAAGAAGTTGTGAGATTTGACTAAGCACTCCTTTAAGCACCAAATACTGCAGCCAGGGTTGTTCTGTAGCCATGCTCTTGTACAGCATTAAGTACTCGGCACTGGCCTCGCCCGCTTCGCCTACATGCTTCAGAAACGAAGTAAGCATATTCAGAGCCTGCTGCCTCCGTTCGTTAGTCCTGCTTAAACTGCTTAGCAAGGAACATGCCAGTTGGCGGCCAAATCTGGAGTTCGCATTAAACAGCAACGGTTGGATCCATTTTGCATTGAAAACGAGAGGCTTAATCACCCGTTGCTTGTCCAACAGCCGCTCACGCCAGCGTTTCCCATACTTTTCGCTCAGGAAGGCAGCCCGCACTTCTTTTCTGGTCTTTGGCGGAGCTTCATTTGCAGACGATCCGCCAGTTCCCGCTGCTGAGCTTGCCTGC